TAGTGGCAGACAAGTAATTTCCTTTTTAAAAGAGTTATTTATTTGCTGAGTGGTGGTGGCTGCGACAGCGGCAGCGGCAGCACACGCCTTTAATCCCAGCACTCGGGAGGCAGAGCCAGGAGGATCTCTGTGAGTTCGAGGCCAGCCTGGGCTACCAAGTGAGTTCCAGGACAGGCACCAAAACTACACGGAGAAACCCTGTTTCAAAAAAGCAAACAAACAAAAAGATTTATTTATTTATTGGTTTTTCAAGACAGGGTTTCTCTGTGTAGTCTTATACTGGAACTTGCTCTGTAGACCAGGCTGGTCTCAAACTTACAGAGATCCACCTGCGTTTGCCTCCCAAGTGCTGGGATTAAAAGAGTGCACCACCACAGCCCAGCTATTTATTTTAATTTTGTATGTATGACTGTTTTGCCTGCATGTGTATCACATGTGTGCAGTAGTACCCACAGTGGCCAAAAGAGGGCATTAGATCCCCTGAAACTGTAGTTGCAGATGGTTATGGCCTTCATTTGCATGCTAGAAACTGAATCCAGGTTCTCTATAAGAACAGCAAGTGCTATTAATCCCTGAACCATCTCTCCAGCCCAAGTTATTTCTGCTTTTAATTTTTTTATTTGAAATTGGATAAGATGTTTATCACAGTTTTACAGTGAGAAGAAGGGGGCAAAAGAAGTTTGAGGAGACAGAGCTTCTGCTCGAGTGAGACTTGCTCTTCAAAATGTCTCTACCAATTGCTTGAGTCTAGGAGTTCTGGACTGTAACACGCTATGCCAATCAGGTGTATGCACTAGATTCAATATGATGACCTTGGTGGGCAGGGGACTACCAGGTTGCATAAGCAGGAGTGAACTGGCCAAGGTCAGAAATGGAGCAGGTGAGAATGTCTCCCCCTTGCCTAGCTGGGTCACTGGAAAGCGATTGCCTTAAGGGTGTGTGACATCAGTAGATGGGTGGTTCTCTGTATCAGATACAGACCTTGAGGAGCAAACAGCTGAAGGGCCTTTCCATAGCTGGGCAGCATGTCCTTCCCTGTTAGGGATCTAGGCAATCCATTTTTATTTTATTTTCCTGTGGACTGTAAAGTCTTTGACCAAACATGTGAAGGAGAACATCCCTCCTCAGCTGTGATTGCTAGCACCTGAAGTAGTCAACTATCAGTTCTTTGCCCCCATATCAGCATTATAAAGTCAATGTGGTCCTGTTACCTTGGTATGGGGGTGTAAAAAAATGGGCTGGACAATAATGTCACAACTGTACTTGTTTGGGGGATTAAGTACTCAACATATTTTCTATCTGAAGAAAAATAAAGTATAAGATAAAAAATTATCTAAGGATGCAAATTGTTATGTAACCTTTTACTAATTTTCCCTGATGTGGCATGTAAAAAATTTAGCCATAATTGTGTCCGAACAAATTACCAGAGTTTTTTTGTTCAAGGAGAACATAGCAGGACAGTCAAGGTGGCTCAGAAGATAGAGAAGACACATGATGACCCAAGTTTCATCCCTGGGACCCATTTGGTGGAAAGAAGAGCCAACTTGCCTAAATTGTCCTTGACCTCCACAAGTATGCCATGGCATGCATGCATCCACACACATAATAAATAAGTAAAATATATCAAAATTTTTAGAAGTAATACAGCAGCTGGTCATGGTAACACACACTTGTAATTTTAGTGCTTTAGAGGCTAAGGCAAGAGGATCATTAGGTAAATGCTAGCCTGAACTATAAAGAGAAACCCTATCTAGAAAGTAGAGAGAGAACCCACAAAATGAGGGGAGGAATTTGAAAATCATATATCTGAAAAGGGTCTAGCATCCATTTTATACAAGGAACTCTTACAACTCAATAACAAAAAGATGGGTGACTTGGCACTGGGGAGATGACCCAGTGAGTACCTTCACTAGCTGCACAAGCCTGGAGACCTGAGTTCAGTACCCAGAACCCATGGAAAAAACAGGATGTGGAGGCACACATCTGTAGTTCCAGCCTTCCTTTGACAAAGTGAGAGATGACAGGATAATCACCTGGAAGTATGAGGGTTGTGTATACAGCATAGCAGCATAAATGAGAGACCCTGCCTCTCAACAAGATAAAGGTGAGAACCAACCCGTAAAAGCTGCCCATTGACCACCACATGCTCATCTTGGCACCCACACACCTGCACAATCAATACAGTATTTCTTAAAAGATGAGCAATTTGACTAAATGTGGGCAAAGTATTTAAATACATGCTTCCCCAAAAAAAACATATGCAACTGACCAACCACACTAACCATCAGGGAAATGCAAATCATAACCACTTCATACATATTAGGATTACAAGACTCAACAGGACAGATAATAAGTGAAAGCAAGGATGTGGGAAAATTTGATTCTTCATACATTGCTAATAGAAGAGTGAATTTGTACAGCATCTTTGGAAATAGTTTAACAGTTCCTCAAGAAGTTAAACATAGAGTTACCAGAAACTCCACTCTACTACTGTTTTCTGGGAAAAAATTAAAACATGCATCTATGCAGACACTTGTACAGTAATAAAAACAGTGTTATCCACAATGGCCAAAAGCTTATTGATTGATGAATGATGAAGCAAACTATGATATATCCATATAAGGAATAGTATTTGGCCATGGCTTGGTCGCTCACACCTTTAATACCAGCACTCAAGAAGCAGAGGCAGGCAGATCTCTGTGAGTTCGAGGCCAGCCTGGTCTGCAAAGCAAGTTCCAGGACAGCCAGGGCTGTTACACAGAGAAACCCTGTCTCGAAAAACCAAAAAAAGTATTCAACCACGGAAGGAAGGAATTGCTGAGATGTGCACAGACTGTACTTTGAAACCATTACACTAAATGAAGGTCATATGCAGAAGACCGTATTTGTATGAGTCCATTTATTTGAAATATGTAGAAAAATAAGCTTATGCAGACTGAAAGTGAATTGATGGTTTTGAGGGGATAGCAGAAAAGGGAGAATTGGCCATAACAACTATGGGATTTCTTCATAGGGTAATGGAATGTTCTGGAATGAGATCATGATGATAGTCACTCAACTTTGTGAATATACTAAGAACCACTGAGTGGTATTCTGTAAAAGGATGAAAGCAGTGATACAGTAATTACATCACAATTAAAATAAAACTCTCCTCTCACTCACCCCAAGAAGAGTGAGTCTGTACAATTTGATGACTGACTGAGATTTCAGTGTGAGAATCCAAGAACAAGTTTCTGTCTTGAGGGATTATTGAGGAGGAATACCAATGCCCAGATTGGGGAGATGCCAGCAGGAGGAGTCTTCTAAGTGAAGATAGTAAGTTTGGCTTAAAAAATACTGCTTATGTATGTTTGTGCTTTTATTGGGAACTTTATTCAGGAAATTCAGGGCTGGACATAAAAGGAGATCAGACTAAATCAAGTATCACAGTGCACACCTGCAATCCCAAAACTTGGGAGGTGGAAACATTAGGGTCAGAAGTTCAAGGTCATTCTCAGCTACATAATGAGTTGGAGGCAAACCTGGGCTACATGACATCCTATCTTTAAAAAGAGAAAGGCCAATTGAGAGTGACAAAGATTAGATATTTTGATTTTGGATCATTTAGTCTTCAGTTATACCTGGAGTCCAGGAGGTATGCTAGTACTTGGCAAAGAGCTCAGACATTGGAGGATTTGCTTAAATCGAAAATTAGGTTGAAGAAAAGAAAAAGAACCTGTGAGTTTGGAAATCAGTGTTAAGTGCTACACAGAAAAGGCATCTTGTGCAGGGTGAGGATGAGAGGAGTCTGAACCCGAATCAGTTTACTTTTCTCCAGTGATCAGATTACAACCACCAGTCTGCTTCACCTTGCTTTGTCCACATTGCCACAGTGAAAGCTACCAAAGAGCACGAAGTTAGAGAGCTTCATGTTATTTTCAGAAAGGTAGTTTACCAAAGTCAGCAATAGAAGAGTTATCTTGTATTTACAGACAACATTTCAAACCCAGAAGGCAACTCAGAAATAGGATGCCTCTCAGAGTCCCAAATGAACTTAGGGGCTGTTGCTTAGGAGGCTGCCTTTGCCATTCTGTGTTTTCATTTGCACTGGCTCTTGGTAGTTTCCTTCTGCCAGAAACTTTCAGAACACATTGCTTGAAGAAGGCCCAAGATTTTGAAACTATCTTGATTCTTGCACAATCCTGCTAAAAAGAATTATTTCCTTAAACTAATGCAAAAAAAAAAAAAAAACCAACTTATTTTCAAAAGTTCCTCCAGAAGGGAGGCTGCCCTTGAATTTGTAAAGACCATACTTGGGATCCTCTTGCTTCAGCCTTTCCTGTCCTAGGATAAGCACACGTTTGTGTGCCAGTTCAAATTGTAGCTTCCAGAGTCCCTACCATTAGGAGTTTTATATTTTCTTTTCTTTTTTTTTTTTTTTTCATTTTTAAAGTTATTTCTCTAATCATATACTGGGAGACCTAAGCATTTAGTATTCTTTATACAGCAGGTCTGATTAGATATTCTCTTCTTACAAATGAGGAAATTAAGACAAAAAGAGCCAGGCTTGCAATGATGAATCAGTGCAGTCTGCAGATTAGAGCCCTGGAGATATAGAGCCAGGAGTCTATTCTGGACATATGCTATAGAGGGAGATTGCTGAATTAATGTCAGATGGCATTATTTACTCACATGGGAAGTGTGCAAACCACTGTTTGCCTTCTGACTGTCTATAGAGCACTTCAAAATTTATGAGACCACTTAATATCCATGAGCTGGTTTTTGCCTCCCTTCAACACTGAAAGATATCATTATCACTGATATCATTATCACTCGTGAACTAGCAAAGTGAGAGAATTTAGAGCTGAAGCAGTTTGCCCAGGTTCACATGGTTTCTAAGTGATGATGCCATGAATTAATATCCAGTCTTGTGACTTCCCCTCTAGTATCTTTCTACAAGACACACTTGCTGCCTTTGAACTCTGTCAGAACTTCATTGTATTCCTTTCCTTTTAATATAGACTCAAACAAAGGACTTTTTATTCCCTTCCCCAATCGGGAAATAAAGGATTCTCTAATCAGTGCTTCTGCAACCCAGGGCAACGTCACACCAGCTCAGAAATTAGATATTTTTCCACTGGGGACACAGGTAATGTATTCACTCTCCTGCTGATCTATTAATTAGCCAATGACTAATACTAATGATGCAGTGTTAAGTTTATTTATATATGTACTCTTAGCACAGTGTATGCTAGGTATTGGTCCTCAAACAGGGATGCATCTGTTAAAGGTTCAGAGCTGGTTATAAAAGTCCTTCTCTTGACCAAATGCTTCCAACTCTCACTCTCTGACCTCTCACATTCTCTGCCTCTACCTTCTAATTAAAGTCTTATGTATCAAGGTGGTTTTCCCAAAAGCTGCCTCTTCTGTGGAACGGACAGAAGGAAAAAGGTAATGTGGCACAGGAGTGACAGGCAATGAGAAATTAGAGATAATGCCAAATTTAGAAAAAATTAAAAACAAGTTTTTGGAGAAAAAATGTTAGTAGAAGTCATGTAATCATTTTATTAAAGTTATCGTGTGTGAGCAAATATGACCTCAAACAGAACTGACAGCTTCTGCGTTTGCTTTTTCTTTGATAATCTTGTCAGCAACAGAACTATAGAAACAGCCAGAGGGAGGATGAATGGAGATGTGGGCGATCAGGACTGTTTCAGTGAAAGGATAGTGAGGGGTTTTCAGTATGTGTGTGTGTGTGTGTGTGTGTGTGTGTGTGTGTGTGTGTGTGTGTGTTATAACAGCCTTCTAATTTTAAATACAGGTTAGCATTTGTTTCTTTGTTTTCGGAGATCGTACTTAGGTGCTAGGAAACTATCTCTGTTACCTTGTTTTAAATCTTGCTATTGATTTAAGAAAACAGAGACAGTGTCTATTCCAATTTACAGTTAAATAACACTTCTCAGTTTAAAAAAAAAAACCTCTAGAATTCCTGAAACGAGGAGAGAGAGAGAGAGAGAGAGAGAGAGGAGAGAGAATTGAATAACTTACTATAATCCTTAAATTTATTATAAAGAAGTGCAAATTCTTTTTCTGGCTACCTAAATTGTGTATGTGGGTGCCTGTGGGTGCTGGAATAGTACCCAGGCTTGGGCATGCTAGACTAGCACTGCGCCATTGAGATAGATATATCCCTAGCCAAGACAACGAACATATTAAGGTATTTTTTTTAACACATTTTAGGTGGATTTTTTTTGCTTCAATTCTTGCCTAGTTATGCCTCAGATTAATTTACAGTTTCTTAAAACTTCAGTAGTTGCTTGGCATGATGAGCACATACCTGTAATTCCAGCACTTAGGAGGCAGGAGCAGGACTGTAGCAAGTTTAAGGATATCCTGGTTATACAGGGAGCTCCAGGCCAGCCAGGGATATACAACAAGACCCTGTCTCAGGAGAAAAAGAAAAACTCGTTAATGAAATAAATAGAAAAGTCCTTTAAATAGAAAAGATAAAATTGGAGAAAATGATCTGGGCTGGGGAGACCTCATGCACAAACATGAGGACCCGAATTTGGATCCCCATTGTAAAAGCCACATAAGGTTGTGATTGGAACCCCAGTGCTGGTGGGACAGGGTGAGCAGGTGGATCCTAGAAGCTCACTGGCCAGCCACACTAATCAAATAGACGAGCTACATGTTTAATGAGAAGCCCTGCCTCAAAAAACAAGGTGCAGACTAAGAGGATCGGTACTCACATGTGCACCGCCACCCCCTCTGTCCCCCACATGGAAAAGAAAAAGTGGCCTTATCTAATTTGTATGCAGACAAAATACAGTAGTTCAGTGTTTGGTATGTCTTTTACCTTCTAAGGATAGTTTGTGTTTTCAAGAACTCTCCTTTCCTGCTCTAAAGCAACTCTGGAACCTCCTTGTGTTGTAACTGTGTTAAAATGGGCTCAACCTTGGACCCCTGCTGGAAGATCTAGTTCCCTCCCTCCAGGGATGAATGACCTTGATAACAGGAAAGTACTCAACTCCCAGGCCAGTAAGCTTACATCTGAACATACACAAATGCCTTTCTTCCTAAATTTTCAAACTTTTTTTTAGATGCAGGAAGCAACAAGAAGGGAGACAAGTGACACCCACAAGGAAGATGGTAAATATTTGGTCACTGGGTATTCAGAGGAAATCTGGATGGGCTGAGATTTGCGAGATGCCCATGCTGCAGCGCTGCACGTTCTGGTCGCTGAACCTTCTGCTCTCCCTCTCCACCTCCCTCTCTCCCTCTCCCTCTCCACCTTCCCCTCTCCTTCTTCCTCTCCACCTCCCCCTCTCCCTCTCCCTCTCCCCCTCCCCCTCCCCTTTCCCTCTCCCTCTCTCCCATTTCCCTCCTCTTTCTCTCTACCAGATTTTAAGGTATACTGTTTAAGTATTTTTAGTATTATTCCCCAAATGACAATATGTTTTTTACTTACACAATTTAAAAATCGTCAGTATCTTAATTTTTCCTTCTTTTAACTTTTCTCTTAGGTAATTTAAAAACCTTGAAAGACCTTTATTCTTTTAGTCCCCCACCCCCAGAAGATATTCCTACAGACCTTACTTCCTGCTTTCATGAACTGAACCTAAGACTTGCTGGTGTAATGCTCCACCCTGAGCTACATTCCCAAGTAGAGTTCCTGTAGATTTTTATTCCTCATACTTTTTAAACCCCACAAGATATTTTTATATAATTTTCATTTAAATTTACCCTTGTTTTCATTTCTTTCTTTAGCCCAGGTATCCTATCCCTTGTGAGATCATTTCCTCCAGATCATAATACATCCTTCAGTGTGGGCCTGCTGGTGATGAACTCTCTCTTTTGTTGTTTGTTAATGATTCCAGTTCACCATTGTTCCTGAAGGGGATTTTTTAATGAGTGTAAGGTTCTAAATTGGCAGATGCTTCTTTCAGAAGAGTGCAGTTATTCCACTGTATCATTCTTGTAGCTGGGGATCTATTACTTTTTCTTCCCTGTGGCTGTTTTCTAGGACTTTCTGATGTCTTTGGTTTTATGTAGTTTCTTTGTGATGTCCATATTTATTGTTATTTGCCCTGTTTGGTGTTTATTATGCTGTTCTTATTCTTCTGGAACTCTTTTTTTTTTTTTTAAGTCTTTCGAGACAGGGTTTCTCTGTGTAGTTTTGGAGCTGTCCTGGAACTCACTCTGTAGCCCAGGCTGGCCTCGAACTCACAGAGATCCGCCTGCCTCTGCCTCCCAAGTGCTGGGATTAAAGGTGTTTGCTACTATGCCCAGCTTTTTTTTTTTTTGTCTCTTATTCTTTTATATTTTTCATCTTTTTGTTTATTTGTTTGATAAACTTTCTGGATAATCCTTCTGGTCCACATTTCATTTTACTAATACTCTATTTAGTTATGACTAAACCACGATTAAGTTTGTGTGCTGAATTCTTTTTGTTGTTGTTGTTTGTTTGTTTGTTTTTAGACAGGGTTTTACTCTGTAACAGCCTTGGCTACCTAGAACTCACTCTGTAGACCAGGCTGGTTCCAACTCACAGAGATCCACCTGGCTCTGCCTCCCAAGTGCTAGGATTAAAGACTGTGCCACCACCACCCAGCTCTGTGTGCTGAACTCTTAATTCCAATTTTTTTCTCAGTTCCATATGTTTGATCTGGTATAGGTCTTTTTTTCTAAGAAAAAATATATGCTTTATATTTCCTTAACAGAATAAACATAGGTGCTTTATAGCTATATGGTAGATATTATTTATAATATCTGAGATCTTTGTAGGTCTATATGTTTTTTTCTACTGGTTTTCATTCATGTTAATATTTTGATTTTTGTTTGTTTATTTTTGGGTGTTTGCTCACTTTTATATTTGAATAATTATTTGAACAAATAATTATTAGTCATATGTGTGTTGTCTTTTCCAGAACAAATTTCCATTTGCTTCTGCCAAGTACTTCGAATACTATCATACTATCAGTCTGGGACTGCTTTAATCACAGCACAAGTCATTATCAGAAATGGCTTATTTTACCCTCAACACTGTATCCTGCCCACATTTTCTTCTTACAGTGTGTGTGAGCTATGAGGATGCAGTTGCCATGTCTTTTACCTTGGGCAGAACCCATACTTTTGTCCCTTTTCACCCTAAAATGACTTTGAGTAAAAGTGATTTTCTGTAATAATATACCTTTAAAGTTTTGTTTTTGTTTTTGTTTTGTTTGATTCCTAAGTTGGGCCTAGAAATTCCTCACTGTCTTCTTAGCTCTTTGTTGGATTTATACCATCCCAGGAAGATAATCTGAAGTATCTAGTTTCTCATTACTTAGAAAATCAATTCTTTTTTTTAGGGGGCGGGGTTCGAAACAGGGTTTCTCTGTGTAGTTTTGCACCTTTCCTGGAACTCACTCTGTAGTCCAGGCTGGCCTCGAACTCACAGAGATCTGCCTGCCTCTGCCTCCCGAGTGCTGGGATTAAAGGCATGTGCCACCACCGCCCGGCATAAAACCAATTCTTTCTGCCTTTTTGTTTTGTTTTGTTTTCTTTTTGTTACCTAAATAAAGATACTGTTTTATGGCCTTTACCATGATATAAGTTGACAATGGGTAAAACATTGCTGGTCTGTAGGTCCTTAGGAACATCAGGGTTAGAATAGTTAATGTGACCAATTCAGAATGTGTACCTATTCCTAAGGTTGCCCTTGGAGCATCAGAAACTCTGAATGTACCACAGAGCACAGAGCCTGCTCCTTTGTCTACTGTTCTACTTGCTAAACTATGATACTTATTGAATAGCAAATATAACTGTCTGAGAGAAATTCTGTAGAATTGGGATAGCACCTAGGCCAGGGATTTTCATACATTTTGCATTCCCTACTATTTAACTAGCTTAGGTATCAGTTCCCAGTGAGTGAACTGGAACCTCTGGGTGTAGTTTAAGAGAAGGCAAGGAGTCTATAAAATCATAGACCAACTATTGTCTATAAACTTGAATGCATAAAGCTACAATTATTGTCATGTGGAGGCACGCCAACTTTTTATATGAAATTACTGTCTAGAAGCCATGGTAGCACACATCTGTATTCCCAGCACTTGGGAAATGGAGGATACAAGAGGGTTGTGAATTCCAGGCCATCTGGGCTGCATAGTCAGACCTTGTCTCAAAGGACAAAAGAAAGCAAAAAACACTACATAGAAAGCCCTGAAACTACCATTTCTAGAGGACAGTTTTAGGTTACTCTATTATTATGAAGTTTGTCTCCAGAATGATACAGATTCGTTATTGTTTCCAAAATGTCCCACGTCTTGTTGTCATTGTCCCTGTGGAAGTCCTCTCATCATTTTGCTAGCATTTATTGGAATTAGAAACCACCTCTTTCTAACACCCTTTCCTAGTGAACAGAGGTACCCAGCTGGGCCAAGATGAATTCTTATCATGTTTTGTTTTGTTTTCTTTGGTGAGGATTAGAATTCAGACATTACTTGCCTCATCGGTCCACAGTCCGATCTCCAGAGAAGATGAGTAGAGATGGATACCGAGTATCTTTTTTAGACACCAAGTCTTCAGGTTCTTCTCCAGAAAAAGACTTGATACCAAAACCTGACACATATTCATGTACCCATGATGTCTCACTGGGTAAACGCCTGGATGTGGGTGATTCTAGCCAGATCCTTCCCTATCAATTACCTTCGGATGTTGGTCTGGACTATTATGATAATCATTATTCTCAAACTCTTTCCCTGCATGGAAGTCTTGTCAAAAAGCCTCAAAAAATCAAGAACTACCGAGAATATAGCATAAAGCCTTCAAATGACATAAAGGCCACCTCATCTCATTCCTGTGGAGACCTACTAGCTTCTCTGTCAAACCCCGACTCCAGCACAGGAAGGCTTTTGAAGCTTAGTTCAGGTAATAGCTATCTGTCAGTTTGCATGTCTTTTTTAAACTCATGAATTTTGGAATTATCATTTATTGAATTGAATCTGTGTTTCTTAAATTGTATATTAGGGTCATTAGTGGTTCATGGACCTTCCAGAAATCTGGAGGGTATGAGTGCAATATGATGGATAATTTAGAGAAAAAAATATAGAAATATGTGAGTCTCACATCTACATGTTATTTTAGTTAAGTGACATCTCAAGACCTATTCCCAGCTGCATCTAGTTCTCTCTGGTCACCATCATCAAACTCTGGCCTCCACATATATATGCTCACATGTGAACATGCACATGCATGCACATGTATGGTGGGAGACGACAAAAGAACAGGATCTACCCTGGTGCTGAGTTGAGAATGGAATGGTGCAAGTATGGGAATAGAAAAATTTACTCTCAGAAGAAGATAGTTTCAGGATAAGTTATAGAGACTGGTCTTCAGCTATTAGTTTATTCAATAAAACTCGCTGGATACCTACCATATGCAAGACACTATTCTACTTCTGAGAACAAAATCAAATTCCATGTGTACTTGATCATAAATCTTATCTCTACTTTTATTCTAACAAGGTAAGATAGATAATAAGTTACCATAAACGTGTCAGTTTATAAGTGCTATGATGGAAAATAACAATTACATAAAAAGTAATAAGGAAGAAATGATGTTTCAGAGTGAATGGTCAGGACAAACTTCTATGATGAAGCATCATAAACATGAGACTTGAATAAAATGAAAGTATAAGGTATACAGATAACTTGGAGGAGAACTTTCTAAATGGTGGAAATAGAAAGTGCAGAGTTCCTAAGGCCATATTTAAGGAACAAGGAACCTAGGATGGCTATAGCAGAGTAAGAGAATGAAGTGTATAGATGAGGTCAGAGTGATGGCCAAACATTTACTCTGGGTGAGATATGTGGTTGGAAGATTTGTAGTAGCAACGGATTCTCACTTAAGAATTACTCTGAGCCGGGCAGTGGTGGCGCATGCCTTTAATCCCAGCACTTGGGAGGCAGAGGCAGGTGGATCTCTGTGAGTTGGAACCAGCCTGGTCTACAGAGCGAGATCCAGGACAGCCAAGGCTACATAGAGAAACCCTGACTTGAAAACCAAAAAAGAAAAAGAAAAAGGAAAAAGAATTACTCTGAGGGGTTGGGGATCTGGTTAGGTTAGTAGAGCACTTGCTGCACAAACATGGGATCTGAGTTTGGACCCCTGTGTAGAAGCTGGGTGTGGTGATGTGCACCGGAATCCATCCCAGTGCTGGAAGGGCAGAGGCAGCAGGAGCTGTAGGGCTCTCTGGCCAGCTGTGCTGCCAGTTTGGTGGGCACTAGCTTCAGTGAGAAACCCCATCTCACTCAGCATCATCCTTTGGCCTCCACACATATGTGTTCACATGTGAACATGTACCTACACATGTATGAGATCTGGATGAGAGAAAGAGACAGAAAGAACAAGAATTACTCTGGATACTGAATTGAGAATGAAATGGGGCAAGGATGGGAATAGGAAAAGTCATTTAAGAGGTTAAAATCCAGATAAAAATTGGTAACTTCAACTAGAGAGAACAGTAGAGGTAGTGAGTAGATGACAGATTCTGACTATATTCTAGGAAAATTACCCTTGGATTTGTTTATGGACTGGGAATAAAGTGTAAGAGAAAGAGAGTCAGTGTCTCTGGGGTTTCAGGCCTAGCCTACTGGGAGAATGGAGTTATCATTTACTGAGATAAAGAAGAATAGAATAGGAGAAATGAGTTTTAAGATGAATATTGAGTTTGGTTTTATATCTTAAGTTTTAGATGCTATTAGAACTTCCCAGAGATGGCATCCCAATAATTGACATAATAGTGTGGATTTCAGGAGGAAATGTAGTTGGAAATATAAATTTGAGAATTATATGGGTACAGATGGCATTACAACTGTGAGTGGGTGAGAATCTCATCTAGAGAGTAAACATAGATAGGAAAGAGATCTAAGGGTCACACCTGAGTCTTGTGAAAATGTAAAGTTGAACAGATGAAGACAAACTACCATGAAGAGTGACAGACAAGGGGAAAGCCGATTGTTACACTGGGGTCCTGGTGAAGAATGTATGTTAAGAAGGAGGCAGTGAGAGTTCTGTGTCGGAGGCTGTAGGGAAGAGCTGGGACTGGCAGTTATTTGGAAATACAAAGGAATGAGTGAATAGCTTCAGGGGATACATTAAAATAAAAGCTCCATTGAGGTGAGTTTTTTAAAAAACACCTTGGAAATGAAGCAATAGAGTACTAAGTAGATACAGTCCCTCAAGGAGTTTTGCAGCAAGAGGGAGCAGAGAAATGGAAGAGGGGATGGAATCCTATAAGACTGATAAAAATCATCAGTAGAGGGAGAATTAGTGGTGTATTAGGAAACAGAACATCTACAAGGAAAAACTCCTTGTCTAGTCCACAAGAGATGAAATTTGGTCAACTGGTAAAGAAGCTGGCCTTAAGTGAAGCACCAACAGTTACAGGAAGGAGGCAGGGGATTTATTCCGATAGCTGATAAATGATAGGTCGGTTGATAAATTCAATGGTGAGATGGGATGGACATTTTCTTTGATTTTCTGTTTTCTTGGTGAGATAAAGGAGGGAGGAGATGATAAAGTTTGAAGAGAAAAGAGATGTGAAGTAATTCTCTCGGGAAATAAAATGAATTGACTAGAGTAATATGTAAGGACAGCTGGGCGGTAATAAGGATCCAAATAGTCTAGGAGTCGTGAATTAAAGTGAGAAAGGTCAGAACAGATGTGTGTTGTTCTCTAATCACTGCTCTGGTATAGGCTCCCGCATGTAGACATTTGCATTTAATCAGAACTTACGGAATTCCCCCCAAGTGCCTGCCTTGAGGGGATTTCTATCAGGGTCCAGAACAGATGCTACAAGCGGCTGAGGATACTAATCGGAGGGACAGTCAATGAATCTAAGAACACTGAGTTATTTAGTCCATTCCTTTATTGTTCTAAGTAAAATTCTACAAGTGCTGTGGGGAAAACCAGTATATGTATACACAAACAATCATTCTTTTACAATGCATTGCGAGATTTAAAGTTTTCAGGGTCACAGAGAGAGGTGATAAGGATCCACACATAACTCAATAATTGTCAGCTAGATTAACAACCTAAAAGGGGTGTGACTAAAGGGGAGTTCTCTGGCAGGGTCAACTAAAGGCTAAGATCAATTAGGGAATCTAGGAATAGCACCTGGCTGAGGAGGAATTAAAACTTAATTTGCACAAGAAAGAAGCTTGGCACCTATTACCTGTCTGGCCTTGATGGCAATCTCCTTGGATCAGTGAGAAGTAACTACTTTAACTCAGTAACTAGCAAGTGGCTAAAACATCATCCCAGGAATGTGAGCAGTAAATCTCTTAAATTAGGGTCTTGTATAAATAACCCGGGGTGAAGGTAAGGAGTTGAGGATATAATTGTTATGATTCTTTTCTCTGTCTGTGGGTGAGATGAGCTAATGTTTATCTATGTGCAGTTTTGTCCTTGGAAAAAGCTATCTTTGCTGAAATACTTTTGTCTGGAGAATGGCCTTGGCCAGATATATGTTAATGAAAAATAAACACAACTAGGGACAGTTATCCAAATACCCCAAATGTATAAGGAGAGTTGTGCCCAAGATTGAGATGCAATCGTGAGATTACATGTACACATGACATGGAAATGCACGGTAAATGGGGAGAATCATAGCTGTTATTGCACAAGAAGTTTACAAGAGAAAATCAGTTCATTCAAAAGGCAGTAATTCCATAATGCCTTGCGTGACGGTTTCCTCTAACAGAACCCTTACTTCTGATAGGTTGACCTTCTGAACTCTAGCTGTCACTGCTGTATACTCTCATGGACTTTTACCACCAGCAGCTCTCAATAAGAATTGAGGTTTGGCCAGGCGGTGGTGGCGCACGCCTTTAATCCCAGCACTCGGGAGGCAGAGCCAGGAGGATCTCTGTGAGTTCGAGGCCAGCCTGGGCTACCAAGTGAGTTCCAGGAAAGGCGCAAAGCTACACAGAGAAACCCTGTCTTGAAAAAACCAAAAAAAAAAAAAAAAAAAAAAAATTGAGGTTTGATCAGATAGAGGAAGACAAAAAAAGGAGTTAACAGAGTATGTTAAAGAGTAGTTATTCTAAACCTAGATACCAACAGATGTAAGGTTTGAGAGAGTTGAAAGACAGGCTCATTTCCCAGGCTGTTTCCTCCACAGATCTATATGCCACAACCCATTTCAACAGCGAGCCTGCCCTGCTGACCAGTGTAGAGCAACAGTTATCCAGCAGTCTCAGTGATTTTGCACCAGCACCTGGTTCTTTCCCAAGCAACCGGGTCCTAGGAAACTCTCTGCAGACACTGCTGTTGCCTCCTGGGACTCCAGAAAACAGAGAGATTCCAACTAAGAGGTCATTAAGCGGAGGAGTCAAGTGGAAGGACAATGTTCTTGCCAACCTGAATCTGAAGTGTGGTTTCCAAGAAGCTACAGGCAGCGAGGCGCAAGTATTGACTTGTTTGTGTGTGTACAAGAGACACAAAGGCTCAAGAACAGAATGTGCTGCTCTTGGGGGTTTGGGGTGGTTCCACCAATATTGCTAGAAGTTCTAGGGGATTTTCAAAGACCTGTGGCCAGTATTACCAGGCTATATAGCCTGTGATTCTTTTGCCCTTAGGAAAAGTTATCCCTTTCAACTTTTTTTTTCAACTTTCTATCACAAAGGAACTATTTACTTTAAGAGCATAAACATGGTACATGGTAGAAAAACACTTTAATAATTAATGTCCTGCAAGAGTTTGCTAACAGGACAGAGTAGAGACATTGTCACAAGTAACTAACTTACTCGAAATAGTTTTTATAAATTCTTCCTTTTTTTTTTTTTTTTTTTTTTTTTTTAAACAGGGTCTCATACATAGCCCTGGCTGTTCTGTTACTTTATAGATCAGAATGACCTTGAAGTTGAAATCTGCCTGCCTCAGCCTCCTTAGTGCTGGGATTAAAGATGTACATCACCAATGCCCAGCTAAAATCATTAATTTGCTTTTCTGTACAGAAACTCAAATGATTCTATTTTTTTCCCCAAAGTATCCAAAAGCAAATGAATTAGATTTCCCAGGGGATTTTTAGCTGAAAATGGCTAAGAGAATCAAGAACTGTCTTTTCTGAATGTTAATTTTTCTGCTGGTCTTATTGCCACCAGGGAGCCTTCAGTTTAGTTTGAGGAACCACAGTCCTGAGAGTCCGTGATCCCTTGTCCTGTAAATCGTGTCCGACATTTATTGCCTTGTACTGAAGCAGAGTATTTGATCAAAAACTATTTCTAGTTATTTTAAGATTTTAGTTGTTGGGAGTCTTTTTGCACATTAGGATGATTTCACAGAAATTGTCTGTTTCTTGACTCTTTGAATCTTTCTTACTCTGTTTTTAGAACTCTGGAGGTAAGAGCTGGGGATAGTTTGCCTAGTACATATGAGGCCCTAGGCACACTCTCATACACCACAAGTGAAGGAAGGAGACAGGAGAGCCTCTGGAGACAGTCATGGTTTTGGTTCACTAAAGGGGGCAGTCTTGTAATATTTTCTTTAGTTTCTGGCTTGTTTTACATTCTCAGCCACAAATGCCCACTGTATCAGACAAAAACACTAACTGTGATGATATATCTAGGATAAAGTCCCAGGAATTCGTAAGAAATTAGGATGCTTTATTAACAGTCTGGGAAAAAATTTTCACTTCTATTTCATGTCATATTGTCAAAAATCTCAACATTTTTGGACTATCTTTAATACTACGATTTTTTCCTGTTAGACATTTTTTTTTTTTTTTTTTTTTTTTTTACTATGGAGAGCTTTCAAAGTGCTGACTTACTATAAGCAGAAAGGCAGACAGACTGTTTTGCACTTAGTGGGTGCGTGATGTAGAACCCAGGGCCTCACACGTGCTAGGTCCTTGGCTATAAATTATGTATATGCTGTTTGATTTCTGAACTCTGTAATTCTCAAATTTCTAAAATTAAACTGGGCATGGTGGAGTCTACCACCAGCACTTGGGAGTAAGAGGTAGAGTTCAAGGCCAGCCTGGGCCCCATGAGACTCTGCCTCAACCAACAAAGAAAAGAAAAAAAATTAAAGAAAACCAGTAATAGTAAATTTTATTTTTAATAAATTTCCATAAAGTAGCCTTTTGATATGACTAGACTTTTCTATGCTTTAACCCCAAATCACATTAGCTTCTCAAATGATCCTATCTTGTGTTCTTCATACATCCACAGTCCTTAAGCTGTACTGATCAGGGCCAGATTTTCTGAAAATACGTCTATCCTAGTTGTGATGCTGCTCTCTACCAATCGTAGGCCACTCGTGACTCAGCTCAGTTCACTGTTTTGGGTGCTGTGTTTCATTATCTGATAATCATCCTTAGTGGGTTTGTTTGTTTTTTTTGTTTGTTTGTTTGTTTTTTTTGGTTTTTCGAGACAGGGTTTCTCTGTGTAACTTTGTGCCTTTCCTGGAACTCACTCTGTAGACCAGGCTGGCCTCAAACTCACAAAGACCCACCTGCTTCTTCATCCTTAGTTTTTTACATCAAAAGAGCCAAGCAAAAATTGAGAAATAATAAGACTGTCTTTATGTCATACTGTGTGTGTTCATGTGTGTCTGTCTGTCTGTACGTCAGTGTGCATGTCTGTATGTATGTGCCTGTGAGTGTGCGTGTCTGTGTGTGTGTGTGTGTGTGTGTGTGTGCATACTGTGTGTCTGTGTAAGTGTGCATGTCTGTGTGTATGAGTGTGCATATCTGTGTGTGTGTGTGCATATTGTGTGTCTGTGTAAGTGTGCATGTCTGTGTGTATGAGTGTGCATATCTGTGTGTGTGTGTGTGTGTGTGTGTGTGTGTGTGTGTGTGTGTGTGTGTGTGTGGTGCTGGGGATAGATCCCAGGGTTTTGTACCTGTAGCTAATACAGGCTATATCTCTAGCCTATATTAGTTTTTTTGAAGTCCACAAGACTCTATAGGAAAGACTGGGAGATAGACATATATAAAATACATAATAATATGCATGTCGTGTTAGAATGAATAAAAGCAACTGTGAATGTTACTATATAGATCTAGCTATGATTTTTTTGAATAAAAAATCTCATTAGTACTCGACCTAACAATGACATTTAACTTACAATTTTTAAAATGTTAGAGGGTGAGCTGGGTGATGGTGACTCACGCCTTTAATCCCAGCACTCAGGAGGCAGAGCCAGGCGGATCTCTGTGAGTTGGAACCAGCCTGGTCTACAGAGTGAGATCCAGGAAAGGCACCAAAGCTACACAGAGAAACCCTGTCTTGAAACCCCCACACACAAAATGTTAGAGGGCATTTATGTTTATTTAAAATAGAAGCTTATTATGAATTTTAATTTCTTATTAAATTACTCTTAATTTTATCTTATCATATATGGTACTTTTTAAAAATGTCCTGCAGTTTTATCTTCTTTTTGTATTACATAATACATTGAACCACACATGTAAGTACTTAATATCACATTTTTATTGAAAATTCTGAAAACCTACATAGAAAAATCATGACAGAGGATCTACTACTTTTGAAATCTCCTTTGAGGGCCTAGAGATGAGGCTCAGTGGTAGAGGACTTGCCTAGTGTGTACAGGGTTCTGGGTTTAATCCCCAGCACTGCCAAAGAAAAAGAAAAAGAAACATGAAATTGCCTTGAATATCTCATAGGCTTGCCTCGGACTAGTGATATGAGATTCATATCTAAACCAAAAGATGGAAGCTTTACTTTAAAAATCATGAGTGCTTTAAATGTCTGGATCCTTGTTTCCCTTATTGTGTAAGAATGACACAAATGGTACTGGTTTTTGGTTTTGTTTTCTTTCTTGAGCCTCTCTCTAGTGACCTGGGCAGTTTGCATGGTTTACCGGGCAACCATAGTCCCCCGATCTCTGCCAGAACCCCCCACGTGGCCACTGTCCTCAGACAGCTCCTGGAGCTGGTCGATAAGCACTGGAGTGGCTCTGGCTCCCTCCTCCTCAACAAGAAGTTTCTTGGTAAGTGCACGGTTAGTTCTCTGTGCAATTGGGAGGACAGGACCTTGCTTCTGCTCTGTGGTTTTTAGCCATCTAGTTCCCTTAGCACGCAAGGAAAAGTGTGCATCACTTACCAAAATTTCCCAGAAACACCATGCTTAACAAATCTGCATTTTTTTTTACATTTGTCTCCCCTCCCCCCCCCCCTTTTTTTTTTTTTGTTTTCTGAGACAGGGCTTCTCTGTGTAGCTTTGATCTTGCTTTATAGCCCAAGCTGGCCTCAAACTCACAGAGATCACCTGGCTCTGCCTCCCGAGTGCTGGGATTAAAGGTATGCGCCACCACCGCCCAGCCTTCCCTATTTTTTAAAATCAACTATTTTTCCAATTGTTTTGTAGCAATTGTTTTCTTCTTCCTATAGTGTTTGTGTGTGCTCATGTGTGGTCTTTGGTAATATGTTGCATGATCAGATATATGTACTAGGGAGTAGTTATATTAATAATTACAAAACTATTTTATGATCCTTTGGAAGTACCAGTAATGAATACAACAGAAATGAGGTTTGATCATCAGAATTTGCAAAGACTGTTGAAATGTTGATTTTAAAAATTCAAATGAGGCCGGGCGGTGGTGGCACACGCCTTTAATCCCAGCACTTGGGAGGCAGAGCCAGGCGGATCTCTGTGAGTTCGAGGCCAGCCTGGGCTACCAAGTGAGTTCCAGGAAAGGCGCAAAGCTACACAGAGAAACCCTGTCTCGAAAAAACCAAAAAAAAAAAAAAAAAAATTCAAATGAGTAAATGCCCTTGAGCTCTTTTTAGGGATTAATTTTTAGAAACATGGGGCAAATAGTTGTATAAATGTTGGCTCCAGGTGCTTATTTGTTGTTTAATGGAGACAAAATTCAAGGAACTTTTACTTGTTAGTAAAGCTTTAAGTAAAAACAAGAACCTTGAAAGTTGTTTGGACTGAAAAGTTTTTTAATTTCTAAGGGCTGTAGTACAGCCCAGTAGAAGAACACCTGTCTAGCTTGTCCTAGCCCCCATCCTAGCACTAAAAACCTTTTCTTAAGGATTTTAGTTTTAGTTATGTGTACAGTGGTGTATACATGTGTATATAGGTACCCACAGAGGCCAGAAGAGAGTGTCAGATTCCCTGGAGCTGGAGTTATAAGAGGTTGTGAACTACTTGACATGGGTGCTAAAAACTGAACTCTGGTCTTCTGCAAGAGCAGCAAATACTCTTTCTCTCTCTCTCTTTTTTTTATTTTTTATTTTTTGAGACAGGGTTTCTCTGTGTAGCTTTGGTGCCTGTCCTGGATCTCGCTCTGTAGACCAGGCTGGCCTCGAACTCACAGAGATCTGCCTGGCTCTGCCTCCCAAGTGCTGGGATTAAAGGTGTGTGCCACCACCGCCCGGCTAGCAAATATTCTTAACTGCTGAGCCATCTCTCCAACCCCCACACCAAATTTTTTAATTAAAAAATTATATGGAGGCCAGGCAGTGGTGGTGCACACCTTTAATCCCAGAACTCAGGAGAGAGAGGCAAGTGTATCTCTGTGAGTTCGAGGCCAGCCTGGTCTACAAGGCTAGTTCCAGGATAGGCTCCAAAACTACACAGAGAAACCCTGTCTTGGAAAACCAAAATAAAATAAAATTATATGGGGAGAGGACAAGAGAGGGTAATATATGTATGAATATAATAAAATGATGTTGTGTACATATAGAAAACTGAATGATAAAACCTATTATTATATATAGTTAACATAGTAAATTTTAATTCTAAAAGGACGTAGAGGAGAAAGAGTCAGCCTTCCTTCCCATGTTGACCCACCGTTGCCATTTTGTAGGAAATCATTCCCTGGAGCAGTATCTCTAGAATAGTTAGTTGTCCAGGAAGGGTATAACACTTCTTACAGTCACTACATTCCTGTCAAAAGGCAATGATTAGATACAGAACTGGCAGTTATTGACTTGGAATTCTGTGCTTTAGTTTTATGATTGGCCCATGATCCCAACCTGAATTTTTGGCAGGTCCTGCCAGAGATTTGCTTCTGTCTTTGGTTGTGCCTGCACCTCCTCAGCAGTGGCATCGCTCACAGCTTGAAGACAAGGCAGGGAAAGCCTTCCGCTGGAGGGAGAGTGAACTAAAGGAAGCAGGACTGCTGGTTCCTAATGACGTGGTATGGCTCCCTCATCTTTCTCTCCTTCTCTTTCTTTACTAGAAAAGACATAACTTCATGATTAGAACAGCCCGGGACCCCAAGGAGCATCACTACTGTGGACAGTTAGACACTCTGGAACCAGAATATGAAAAAGTCAGGCAGAACAAATCAGGAATACCAAATTTGTTAGGACAGGAACAACATGCAGGTTCTTCAGGGATGACTCCTTTATCCTAGCAAATCCACAAGTCCTAAAGAAATACTTGAAGGGACAAGGAGGGAAGCAGACAAGACTCTAGGTGAAAGTGTGTAGGATCACACTGCTGGAGGCCTTGGTGTGGCCCCAATGATGGAAGGCAAATGCCATCTTTCTCCCTTCTGATGGAGTAGAGAGCCTGGCACCAGCAGCCATGTTTGAGTATCTGGCTGCTGGATTGGGGAGAGAATGAAGGAACTCATATCCCTAAGTTTCTCTTTTCTTAGCCTCAGTGGATTTTCAGATCATGTTCGGCCCTAGAAACTTCTGATTGATGACTCAGAATGTCAGCTTGCAAAGCTACCAGTGTTCAGCAAGAGTTGTGGATTACCCACAAAAAAGACCGAGATAAGCACGTAATCAGTTGGAATGCTGCCCTGGAACTGTGTTTACCCATGAATTAAATTTCTAGTGAGGTCACGCAGCTGCACCCCTCCATTCAGTCTGTCATGAGAGGAAATGGAATTCAGATTCTTAACATGTTGGTGTATTGTTTTCTGGTCTAAAGGAAAATTTGAAGCAAAAATTGGTCAAAGTGCTGGAGGAAAACCTTATTTTGTCAGAAAAAATTCAGCAGTTGGAGGGAGGTGCTGCCACCTCAGTTGTGAGTGGGCACCCATCTCAAACACACGGTAAGTTAGGAAAGCCATGTGTGGGATTGGATTGCCAAAATAATGGTTGGTAAATGGCCTGCTTAGTGAGCTTCATCAACCAAAGCTCTCATGGCTACCTTTGGTTTTCCTTGGCCATTATTTTTCCTTAGGAATTAATGGAAACTGTGATCTTACCTCAGAGAGTTATTATTTTTATTTATTTTTGTAGTACTGGAAATCCAACCCAGGCTAGGTCCCTAGCTTTTGCTTCAGAGAATTGTAATGCAGGCATCTTTGACTTAGCATGTGAAGCTCTGTGTCCATGTAAAACATATGTGAATGATGTTTTTTCAATGACACTGCTTTTTGTCATTACAGCAGGAGAAAATGTATAAGGAAATGCAGAAATTCAGCTTCATGACCCAGCATTGACTATCATCAGTATTTCAGAATTCTTTCTTCCAGTTACCTCCATATGATAAACATTCAACTCAAAATTTTAAACTATACCCTGATTTTTTTTTTTTTTTTTTGAGATAGGGTTTCTCTGTGTAACAGTCCTGACTGTCCTGGAACTCACTTTGTAGACCAGGCTGGACTTGAATTCACTCAGAGATCCACTTGCCTTTTCCTTCCCAAATGCTGGGATTAAAAGCATACACCACCACTGCCCGACTGTACCCTGGTTTTTTTTTAAAAAGATAATTTACATACAACAAAATATACTCATCTTAAGTTTGACTCTAATGAAATATATAGAAATTCCCTTACAAACCTGTGTGGTCATTTCCCCCATGTGCCCCAGGCGACCGTAGACTGTTTCTACACCCTAACTGAATGGCACAGGCACTCCCACACTGCTGCATGAGTAGCCTTTACTTTTCTACCAAACTCTACATTGTTGTTTCTAATATTTGATAACCATGAAGTTGCCTTTGCTTATAATAGTGACTGTATAAGTATAATACAGAGAGGAAGTTGGTAATTCTAAAGAGATTCTGAATATTCAAAAGGAGGACCTAAGGTGGAGGAAAGCTTAGAATGAAGACCTTCTCTGAGACCACCTTCCTTCCCTGGTGATGGAGTATGGGTCCTAACATGTGTGCTATTGTAAATAACGCTGCTGTCAAAAGCTGCGTACAGAAAATGCACAAAGACTTGTGTACATTTCAGACTATTTTCCTAGAACTCGAAAGGCATAGACACTTTTTGAGGGTTTCTTACACATTGCTAAATCTCTCTTGAGAAATGTGGTTTTGAATAATCATATCAATTGTGTACTTGTGTGTTCAAGCTCCCTTTTCACTCCATTTTTGCAAATGCTACTTTGTCTGCTTGTTTGTTTGTTGAGACAAGGTTTCTCTGTGTAGCCCTGGATGTCCTGGAACTTGCTCTGTAGACCAGGCTGGTCATGAACTCAGAGATCCACCTGCCTCTGCCTCTGCCTCCCGAGCCCTGGGACTAAAGGCATGTGCCACCACACTCAGCTGCAACTGCTACTTTTTTTTTTTTTCTTAAAGTTTTCGGTTAGGCTGCGATGACGCATGCCTTTAATGTCAGTGCTCAAGGCAGAGGCAGGTAGATCTCTGAGTTCAAGGCCAACCTGGTCTACAGAGCAAGTTCCAGGACAGCCAGGACTACACAGAGAAACCTTATCTCAAACAAACAAAAAATAAATAAAATCTACCCTCAACTTCAAGCCTCTAGCTCAGCTTTCATAAGTAAATATAGGCACTCAGATTGTTATGAGGAAACGATGTGGAAGCATTGAGACTCCACTGTTAAAACTCAGCACAATCTGATATTCACAAAACCCAGATGAAATGGTCATCGGTCTCCTCCTACCTATGAAAAGAATCCTTTCATTCAGTCATGGGGGCTGGTTCTGTGTGGTGGTTTACCGGCCGTTAGTGCACCTTTAGCAGTCCTGTTTTCCACCTTCCAGACCTTGCCACTCAAGACATGATCCATGGTAGCATCACCTGGGAGCTTGTTAGACAAGGGAATAGTGGCCCTCTCCGCGGGCCTACTGAATCAGAATCTATTTTTAAGAAGATCCCAGGGGATTGGGAAGCATATTAGCGTTTACAACGTGTTATTCTAGAAAACTGGCTCTTAAGGACCAGAGTTCCTGTGCTTTTATCTCCCTTAGGACTGCAGGCAGTGGTAGAATATTTGGAGAGGCAGGTGTAACTGTCTTGGCTATCTATCGGGGACTATGGGGGTCCAGCCCCTCGACAGTCCCCTCCTAGAGTCTGGGAAGAATCTACAACCAGCTGATAATTAATCTTTGATGAAAAGAAATGAATCTATGTACACGAGACTCCTTAGTCCATACACTTTATTATTCTGTGATAGTTCTCTCTCTACACAGCTTCTATTCTGCTCTCATGTCTAGCTCCTTTCTTGCCTGATTTCTCTATATTTATCTACTGTCCCTTCTAGGTTCTCATCTATCTAGTTCTTTCCCCTATCAGCTCCTCTCCCGTCTCCTTCTCTCTCATCTGACTCTTCCTCATCTTGTTCTTCCCCATCTTGTTCTTCCTCACCTGGCTCTTCCTCATGTTCCATCTCGTTCCTCTGGTACTCTCTTCTAGCCCTACAATCTAGTTCTTCCCCATCTCAGTTTGTTCCTCTCAAGTTCCTACCCGTCTAGTTCTTCCATTCTCTTTTCTCTTCTCCGACTCTCCGTGCCCTGGAAGTCCTGGTATATAAAGCCAGGCTTCCAGGGTCAAACGGAGGGGTGATAAGAATCACATTGAGAGGCAATAACCGTTAATTATCATTTGCAACCCCAAAGGGAAGTGACCAATGGGGAAATGAATTAACTAAAGGCTGAATTCAGGTAATATCTAAGAAGAGGGCTCTTATGTGCTCAACTATAATCTTAAACGTGATTGGTAGAAAATGTTAAGAATCTATAAGTTGCTAGGTCAATGGGAGAAAATAAAACTGTCTTCTTTTTTCCTGTGGCTCCTATCTGTCCAAGCTATCTGCCGTTTTTTCTGCAGGGGGGGGAAGTGTGCTCAGTTGCTAGGCAACCTGTGTACAGCTAGATGCCTCTGGTGATAGTTAAAGGGAGATCTGGAACTGGAGGTAAGGTTTGGGAAAGGAGGAAGTAAGGCTTAATTGGCACATCCGCCAGGCCTTCTCAGACAGGTAGCCTGGATTAAGTCTGTTCTTAGAGAGTACAGAGGTATCTCTGATAAGGTACTTTCCTCCATCCGGTGATGGACCTGGCCGGATGCTGCCAATAATGATAATTACAGGGAGGCTTGAACTGGGTTTCTGGCTGAGCATAGCTATCAGCGCAGAAGGTTATCTAAATATTCCTAGAAGTGGTTAGGTAAGGAGTTAGCGGTCTATAAAGTTAGTAAGGCTGTAAGAAAGGAGGATCTGAGCTGAATTGTGTAAAGCTATTACTTAACGTCCACCTGACCTAGGTGGTGTCTCCTTGTGGAATTTGCCTTAAATCAGGAGACTTGCATGTGGACTGTTATTACTGCTAGTCCTTGAAAGTGGCCAAGGGAGATATCTGATTCCAGAGAAAGCCTTTCCTGAAGCTGTTTTCCAAATACCTGGAATGTGTATGTCCAGTGAGTGAGTGATCAGTCCACACTGTTAGCCCTTCTAGGGGAAAGTCAATTGGGAAAACTATGAAGGCACACATGATTTTCATAACAGAAGACAGCTGATATATAACAAGCCAAGTAACACCAAAAACTCCTTGGGATTTGGCTTCCTCTGGAGGAATTCCCTGATTCCTCCAAGTAGTGACTTTGCCATAACCAGCTGAGTTCTTATAATATATTCCTGCGGCCCGCAGCAGTTATCATTGAGATATTACCGTTTATCAAATACCGTTTATTTTATATATTGACACAGTTCTAGATATTTTCACAAACTAGGTAGGGAGAGAAGGACACAAGTTTCGAAACCAAAATGTAGACTGCAGGAGACTGAATACTTGTTTACGGGGTACAGCAATGAGGGCAGTGTGTCACTGGTGTGTCACTGGTACTGTGGGTCATGATCATTAGCTCTAGTAAAACTCGAAAGTTGGTCTAATATGTGCAGTTGTACATAGCTGAATTGTAATTCAGAGCAGTCACCAAATGCCATATTCTTGTCAAATAACTCCTGTCTCTAAGGGAGGGAATGGTGAATGGCATGTGGAGGTAAGTACTGGGAAGGGCAGGGGCTGGTTGAGATGTCCCAAGTACTTAAGCTCTACTTAAAGGTGAGCCTCGAGTCCTGCTCACTCCTGGCTGTTGTACCCTTTGTAGATGATCTTCTGCGCAAAAACCAGCAGCTGACCATACAGGTGGCCTGCCTGAACCAGGAGCTGACTCAGCTGAAAAGGCTGGAGGAGACAGTTGCTCTTCTCCACGAAAGTCAGAGGTAGGAGCAGTCTGGCTGGCTTTCAGAGCATGTGTTCACTTCTCTTTATCTTCTCTGCTTTTCTTGGAAACTAGACTCTACACCTGTGTAAATTAGTGTATGTAAATCTCCTACTAGGCCATGTTAGCTCAGGGATCAAAGGACAGCTTTTAGTACTGCTTTTATACACCAGGGACAACCCTTTGCTGGCATTGGTGGGTTGCAACTACTCAGTAATTAGTATTTCAATGGCTATAATGGAACTCTAGGGTCAGCCAATTGTTTTGGTCATTACATACCCCTCAGATCAGCTATCTGACTCCTCTGGAAAGTGCCTGTTTGCTATTGGGCACAGAAGACTCACCAAGAGCACTCAGTAGGGAGTAATAGGGAAAGAATCCAAAGTAGCCACAGCATCAGCCTCTTTACAGAAAGCATCTCTGATGCAAACTGGAGATGTGTTGGGGGAGGGGGGCTGAAGGCAGCTGGCAGTTCCAGGGAAGCTCTTGAAATGTTGATTTGCCAATCTACCTCTGCTAGAACTTTCATTGATGCTTAAATACAAAAATCAAACCCAGACCTCACTACTGATTTTCAGTAGAGTAACATTAAAACCAGAGGGTCAGATCCAGACCCTTTCTGGATAGCTTCAAACAAACAACAATAACAACAAACCACCCCACAACTTTTCACCTGGGCATGTATGGTGGCACATGCCTATAATCCCAGTGCTTGTGGTAGGAGGAAGGTCAGCACTTCAAGGCCAGCCTCAGCTACGTAGTGAGTTTAAGGCTAACCTGTACTACCTGAGACTCTATTTAAAACAAAAAACTATAGTTATTTCAAACTTTACAGAGTAAAGAGAAGTCATAAAGTCATGGTTCTGCATTGGAACTACAGGAAGGGTTTATTGAAATGCAGATTTCTGGGCTCCAGCCTAGAATTCTGATTGGCACTGTAGGCTGGGAGCTTGAGAATTTGTGTTTCTGGTATTTCCCGACTGTGCTGTGGCTGCTGGTCTCAGACCCACATTAGAGCATCTCTCTTAAGGGATGAACACTCAAAATACTTACCTCAAATTAATTTGAAATGACTGTGTTTTCCTAAACCACTCAGCTCATTTGTTTCATTTTTACTTTGATTCTTAGGAAATTTTTTTTTTTGGTTTATCTTGTTTGTATAGTTTTATAAAAACATTTTTATCATCCTAAAGTCAAATCCATACTAAATTCAGAAGTGTCTAGCCATTTCCTTTCCTCTCAGTAGCCTTCTACAGTGGATGCTGCTGGTGCTGATATCTGTTAATCTTTTATGAGAAGGAGTACAGGTGTTGCTTTTTTATATTCTTTTTATTTTTAATTTTAAAAAACGTCGTATTCTGTGTCTATGGGTGCTTTGCCTGCATTTATGTCTGTGTACCATGTACCCATGGAAGCAAAAAGAAGGTTCCAGGACCCTCTGGAACTGGAGTTACTGATGTTGTTAGCCGCCATGTAGGTGCTGGGAACTGAACTGCAATCCTCGGGAAAAGCAGCCAGTACTCTGTGAGCTACCTCTCCAGCCTGCTTTACTATTTAAATTATTTGTTTATTTATTTATTGGGTAAGGGAGGAAGAATTGAATATGCTAGACCATGTGTGGAAGTCAGTGTATAGGGTTGCTTCTTTTCTTCCACAACGAAGGTCCCAGGGATCAAATTCAGGTTGTCGAGCATGACTGCAAGCGTCTTTATCCACTAAGCCATCTCACTGGCCCAACATTTTTACCTTAAAAAATCAGTTCACAGTGGTCTGAGTTAGTTCTCAATCCTTTTTATACCTGCCTAGTACTCACTGTTTGTTTATACTTTTTTAAAATTTAGTCCTCTAATAATACCAGTTTAGATGAACAGTATTAGACTGCCCAAAATAGTATGAGCTGGGGTGTGTGTGTACCTAGCAAGTGTGAGGTACTCAGTTCAATTCCCACCTCCAACCCCCTCAAAACAAACAAAATAGTGCTGTAATTTTTTTTTTTTTTTTGAGACAGGGTCTCTCTACATAGCCCCGGCTGTCCTGGAACTTACTACGTAGACCAAACTGCCCTCAGACTCACAGAGATCCACCTGCCTCTGCCTCCTGAGCTGGGATTAAAGGTGTGAGCCACCACGCCTGGCTGCATATGTCATGTTTTGTGCTGGTGTGTAGATGGCTTTTAGTGTGGTGTGGTAATCAGAGTTCAAGAGCGCAGTAGTGGCTTGTACCATTAGTTAGTCACAGAGGCAGGCTGATAGAGAAGCAATGCTTTGGGAGTGGGAACTGCAGGGCCTGATCAGAAGCCAATACCCTAGTGCTTCTACTTCCCTCGTCAAGAAAGTGCTTTGGAAAGAAGGAGAACCGCTCTGTAAAATGTGGAAGAGACGATTGCTTCAGTCAGTCTGGAACACAATCAAATGAACTGTAACACAGGAACTGTAGGTCTGCTTTAAAATAGCCCACTCATAAATTGGACAATTCTATTGAAAGATGTTACTTCAGTGTGTATTTGTCTTTAGTAGCCATTTCAGACCTGACTGGCATCTGCTTTGCTGTTGTGATTTCATGACTGCCTTTTCCCCTGGGCCTCAGATCCCTGGTGGTAACTAATGAGTATCTGCTGCAGCAACTGAATAAAGAGCACAAAGGCTATTCCGGGAAATCGCTCCTGCCTCCCGAGAAAAGTCATCCTTTGGGGAGATCGTCACCCTTTGGGAAAGGCACGCTGTCTTCCTCCTCACCAATGGCACACGACACGGGTCAGTATCTAATACAGACTGTCTCAGAAGCTGTCCCCGAGCCTAGTTTGTGGACCTAGCACTGAAACCTTCACCACCAGCTCCCTTCCACCCATGGAGGGCTCTCGGTGCCATTGTCACGGTGTTGGGTAGTGGTGTTTACCCCAAAGATTAAGAAAAAAACTTTGATGATTATATTGTCCCTCTTTTATTTTTCTATTTGTTTCCTCCCATTTGGTCATTCTTTCCTTCTGCCCACACAAATTGTTGGCACTTAGTCCTAGGCACCATTTCACACAGAAACATTTGATTGAAAATGTCAGGAAGGAAAAAATAGTGGACACTTTTCAGTGTCATTTGAGGCTGTGGCAGAAAGTTACAGAAGGACATCTATCAATGTCTTTTGTGTTAGATGAATTTCCAGAGACTCTGAAACATTTGAGGTCTCCTCCTGCATAGTGCAAAGGTGTCCACTCTGGAGGAGCCTATATCCTGAGAAGACTCCCATGATGGACCTCAGAAGTTGATCTAAAGAGAGCTTGGAAGAAGAGGGTGTGGGTGGATCTTGCAGATTAGGATGGTCACAGGGAGCTAGTGCAGAGCCTCCTAGACTAGCAGTGCAGTCTGGTGACCTCTGAGGGGTCAGGATTGTGGGTCGGGGCAGAGGTGGGATGTGGCACCATGAGTGTATGTGACTGGACATCAGTCCTAGCCTGGAGAATGCGATGTCAGGAAGATGTCCCCAGAGGACAGTCAACCAAGACCTGAGAACAAGCAGGTTACTAGGCGATGCACAGGAGCAAGGGCAAGAACAACAGGAAAGTAGCAGCTGTGCTGTGTCACAGAGAGAGTGCTGGGGCGTGGAGGAACTAGCTGCATGGCTCCTTGCAGACTTTCCACCAAGGGGCAGAAGAGTAGGGCTTGCATTTCAAAGGCTTCCTCTATAAGGAGAATGGGTTCCAGTGGAATAGAACAGGAGCAAGCACAAAGAAGGCGGACAGCAGGAGAAACAGGGGCAGGCCCACCTCACACAGCTTGTGAGCGTGCCCGGGTTCAGTGTCATTTCACGCGGGAGGAGTATACAGTCTTTGATTCTGATTGATCAGGTATCTTAAACCTCGGTGGGTCTACTTTTATGTCAGCTTTCTCCAGAGCAGCTAATGTTGCCAGAAAACAGAAGTCCTCACACCTCTTCACCTGTAAGTCCATGTCAGGAAGGGAGGTGGGATAAGATGTTGATTCCTGTCCCTACTCAGATGCCGTGCAGGGAAGGAATCCTGCTGCCACACTGTGGGCTGTGAATTAGAAATAAGTCCACAGACATCTGGGTTTACCTGGCTTTTCAAGAGAAGCCAAAGGTTTTTTGATCTGCATGCTCCACAAGAGCCACCTTCTCTATCTCCTTGTCCCGTGAAGAAATCTCCATAGAGCTTAAGCCTTGCATAGAAAGGGGAATGTCTGAGTTGTCACATTTCAGAAACTCAATTCAGGGTGCAAACCAATCTACTATGCAGACTATCATGGGCAAACACCATAGTTCTTTGTACCCCACCCTCTCTGCCTCTAGTGTGAGCATCTAGTGGTGGCAGCCTGGTATCTGCTCAGAGCGCCTCTGAAGAGGAGCAAAGAGCCTCCCAGACTAAGCCACCTTCACTGCCATTCCCCTTTGTCACAGAAAGTGGCTGGGCCTGCCTCAGGCCAGCAATTCTTTGGGCTGCTGGGCACTCCTGGGTAAGTTATCTCAGATTCTGATTTTTCCTAATGTGTCATGTAGTCCTGGGGACAAAAAGTAGGTATTTATAATGTCAAGGAAAAAGCCATAGTTGTCACCATGCAGGGCTAACTGGACCCATCTTGGAGGGCAGAAAACCTCTGAAGCAAAGGGAAAGAGTATAGAGGCTGTCACTGTAGGCCTGTGACAGGGGAAGAGAAGACAGCCAGTCCGCAGGGAGGTAGCTCCCTGCCCAGAGAGGGGCCTCGACTTCCCCACTGTAGACAGGTGTTTAACAGGGTGTCCTTGTCAGCCTGGCCTTGCTAGAGGAGGTCCCCACAGTTTTCAACCACAGGGGGCTCCCTGGCCCTAAGTGGACCTTGAGCTGCTTCTGGCTCTATGTGGCTTTTCAAGGAAAACAAGGGATTTTACTCCTACCAGGGAGAGTGTGGGGCCAAGCATCCCTCTCTCTCTCTCTCTCTCTCTCTCTCTCTCTCTCTCTCTCTCTCTCTCTCTCTCTCTCTGTTCCTCCAAGCCATCGTACCAGTCACAGGAATGAACAGGTTGCCGCTCCCTCCCCCTGCAGCTCTAGCTGAGAGTGAGGCTGGGTGTGGACACAGGTGGACCCATTTGCCATGAGGGTCTTTCAGTAAGTGGGAGCTGGAAGGATTTAGGTTTCCCATAATGCTTACTGAGGTTTTGAAAGCTTGCAATCCTGGGAAAACAGGGGAGGAGAAGAGTGAAACCCCACCCAGGTAGCTTGAGAGGACAGGGACAGCCCAGTGAGGAGCCACCCTCTGGCAACTAGGAGGCAGGGGCCAGCCTGTGCTCTCTGCTTTCCAGCCGACCTTTGTCCCTGTCCATCCCATACCATTTGTCTGCATCTCTCATCCCTACATGGTTGGCTTAAGCCCAGTTTGAGCAGCACATCCTGGGACAGCCTGTGGGATGAGGGGATACACAGTAACATTTCCTCACTTGTGCTCAGGTGAGAAAAGAAGTTACCGTTGAACAGGAGCTTCTGAAACTCTCTAGAACACCTCAGAAGCTGCCCTCTCACAGACAGGCCCTAAGTCTACCAGTCTCCTTGTTACCACGGCAAGGAAGGAGAGTTGGCAAGGAAGCCTGTGCTTGGGAACAGCTCTGACCAGACACCAGGGACTCAGGACTGATGATCTGGAAGGGCAGAGTGGCCCCACCTTCCCCCAACAGAATGGTGAACAGACGGAAGGGAGTCAGCCAGAGTCCCTCACTGTGGGACACCAGGATCATCACTGGCTATGAGGAGCAGTGTTGGGGTTGCTGTACCAGAAGCGGGCTGGCATGAAGATAAGACGTTTATCGTCCAGGACTCATCTGTAGAAGTCTTTTCTTCCCTAGGCCTCAGTTTCCTCAGCTATAAAATCAGGGAATCAACTGTTTATTCTCTCAGGCTCCTTCTAGTCCTGAGTATTCTGAGATTCTGGGCTAGAGCCCAAAATGGCTTGCCCCAATACCCCCCTGCTGGCAGCCATAGTACTAAGGCCTGGCGCTAAGCCTCTGCCAAGGCTTGGTTCAGGCCAAGTGTGCTGTTTCATCCTTCCTTCTGCTGTGAAAATGCTGAGTGCAGACTGAGACCCTTATCGATAGGACAGCAGGCTGTGACGTCATCACTCGAGGGTCAGGGCCCAGGAAAATGCTTTGCATCTCCCTACAGTCATCTTGGACAGTCTGGCTCTGCTCTGCACTAATGGAAAGGACTCACTAATGGAAGAGGATCTCATCCATTCATCCATTCTGGGCAGGGCTGCCAGTGGGAAGGAAGAGCCCAGCAGGGTGTATATACAGGAGGGTGGGATACTGCGGGGGAACTGCAATGTGGATGCCGTGACCCCATCGCTGTGACCCCATCACCGAATACCCAGCCAGTCCATATTGGTACAAAAGGTATCTTTATTGAGGTCTGGGTAAGAATTAGGCACTTGGCCAGAGCAGCAGCTTAAATATGAGGCAAGCAGGCAAGAGTCAGCCATGCCTGGGACCAGGCTGGGCGGTGAAGGTTTAGGCGCTGTCTCCCAGACAGAAGTGTGGGAGACAAGAAGAAGGAAGGGACACGGCAGTCTGGGTCAGAGGCCTGATGGGATGGCCCCTGGGGCTGGGCAGGAAGCTCTTGGTGGCAGATCCAGCAGGGAGGGAACCAAGCTTTCTTGCTCCATGTGACCCTTGACCCAAGCCTGAGCCTCCAGTGGAGCAGCCTCACTGGGGCCTTCCCAGGTCTCACTTCTTCACCTTGGCATCATAGGTGCCGGCATTCTTGTAGGCGCTCACGTACCCGCTGTCGTCCAGGATGTCCTGCCGTCCAGCAATGCCCTTGCCCTTGCCGCTCTCGTCGAAGCGTTCTTTGTGGGAACCTGTATACTTACTGGTGTCAGTCAGCCGGTCCACAGCACCACCTGTTTTTGCTTTCTGTTTGGACAGAGTTCCCACAGGGTCACCTGAGAGGGAACCTGGCCCATCTTACCTACCCCCACATCCTCTCAGCAGCAGGGCTAGCAAGGCACTTACAGTGACACCCAGATTGGCTGGTTCCTTGCCTGCTACCAGCTGGCAGATGGCATCAAAGGCCTCTTCCTTGCTCTTCCCCTTGAACCGCTTGGTTGCCAGCTCTTCCAGGGCTTTCTTGAACTCCTCATAGTTGATTACTCTAGCCGACTTCGCCCTGCCGGACACCATGTGCACCGTAAGGATTCCCTCCTCTTGATACCCTCCCTGATTCCAGCCCCCAACTCCCTACTTTCTGGGAACAGGAGAAACGGGGGTTTCCCGGCACTCACTTGACTTTGGAGAAGACGATGTCAACATCTGTACCCGTTACGGCCTTTCCGTCAGCCACCTTACAGTCCTTGCACAGCTTGGCCCAGTTCTTGCCATTCATCTCTTGCCCACTGGCTTTGGGGTCGCCATGGATGGCAAACTTCCGGAAACTCTCCTCCAGTCCAGCTACATCAGTGCTCATCGCCATGCTGCCACCCTGTGGGAACCCACGTCAGTTACCTCCCATCAAACTCTCCTCCCTCCTCTACCCAAAACATCCTACTGCTGTCTCAGAGCCTACAAGGTCTGATCCAGTCCCTCAGTCAGGCCTAGGTTGCCTGGGGAGAGGGGTTAGAACTTGTGTCTTCTTGTGCCCCAGAGCTGAGGAAGAGCCATGGGCAGAAAGGTCCTGTCACACTCTGTACCAGTCCTGGTTCTCAGTGCGGCTCAGAAGATGAAGTCATGATGCCCACACAGCACTGAGAACAGAGTGGCACTGTCCACAAGACTCTGAGGGTAGCAGCTAGGGCATGGCTTTGTCTGTCCCTGGCACAAAGCCTGCTTGGGTGGAACTGAAGTGGGGCAGAAAAGCCCTCCCTCCCTGAAAGCTCCATGTTGAGTTGGGTCAGTGCCAGGCCAGGCTGGTGTATGGGCAGGTATTTAGTGAGGATGGTGTCTCTCTAATGGTCATGAAGACCTCGAGAGGCCCAGCCTAAGCCTGTCAAGGGAGCAGGAGCAAGGGCAGTGGTGCATGCCCTAGGCAGGGGTGCAGCTGGCCCAGCCCTGGCCTTGTTACTATTTGCTGTTAAACAAAAACATGAGGGGAGCAGGAACTTGGGTCTGGCCTGGCCACAGTTTGTGAAGCCTGGAGACAGTTGCTAAGAGAGGGTGGTGCTGCTTGGAGAGTGTTGCTAAGGGTAGGATGGTGTCAGGGCGGCTTCAGGGAGAAGCTCCCAGTGCTGCTGGGCTGGGCTGGGGATCAGGGGCCCACGGGTGGGGCACGCCAGCACTCCCTAAGCCTAGGGCACAACCGTGGCTTCCTGGCCCCTTGCCACTGATTGAAGTTGTAGCTCCCAGTCTGTGGAGCTTAGGAGAGGGAAATTGGAAGCAACCTAAGTGGAGGCTTGTAAAGTAGCCCCTAAACTCCTCCATGCTGCTAGTGGGACTATGATCTTGGTGCTTCAATCCTTTACTGAAGCACACATCCCCTTGTCTACACTTCAGCCCTCCACTAAGGTCTTCTTATCACACCCTGAGCATGACCACACCAGTCCACATTCCCACAGCTCATATGCACTGAACCCTGGCTCTCCACACCCTCAGCCATGTACCCCCTGACCATACCCAGGCCCTGCACTGAGGCCTCCTCCATCCACACCCAAAGCCCAGAATTTGACCCTTTTTCCCACTTCTATCCCCACACAGACACTAAGAGGCCTGCATCGAACCCCCTCCCCAGCATACCCTCACTCCTGCACTAAAGCGTCTATTCATAGCCTGCTACTGCAGCCCCCTGACCACACCCTCACTCAGCTCTCTACTGCTGTCCTCTGACCACACCCTCAGCCCCACTGTGAGACTCCATGTACAGCTCAAGCCCTGTGCCCCACTTGCATCCCCATTTTGCATCCTTTTCATTCACATCCTGAAGACCCTAACCACACTCACTAACCTGACTCTGCACCCACAGCCCTTACAAAGGGCCCCCCACCATACCCTCGAGCATCCCCTTGAACCTCCCCACTGTGTCCAATCTATGCAATAACATTTCCATACTCTCATGCAAAATGTTAAACACCCACCATCACACTTTCATCCTGCAGCTTCCCGACCACACCCTTAGCTCTCCCGCTTTATCCATATACCTAGAGCTGTTGACACAGACTGGCCCGAAGCCCCTCAGAGTCTAACCAGCATTGGTATTTCCACACTCCTGCATCAAGTTAGAACATACCACCATCACCACACCCACTGCAGCATCCTGACCACACCTTCATTTTCAGCCACCATCTTTACCTCTGCCTCTTAGAAAAAGAGTCACCAATGACCACAATCCCCAAACACACACACACACACACACACACACACACACCTTCCTCTTCTTCCATTACTAGTCAGTAGACACTGGAAGCCTCCACCTGCTCATCCATAAGTTGCAGTTTTTAAGAAGGGGAAACCCAAAGATCCCACATTGTGGGGACCTCTGTGGGACTGTAACCCAGGTGGTACTGTACTCCCTTTGCCTCTCCCAAGGTGCAAACCCCACCGGGAACCCAAAGCCCTGCACTTGGTCACCAAGGGTAAATATGTCCAGGGGAGCTTGGGTGCTACATGATGCTTGTCTTAAGGAAATGGGAGGATCCTGAGCCTATTGCTCATTTCTGTCTATGGGAAAATGGATTTGGGGGCTGTTCAGGTGGAACAAAATCACAGAGAGCTGCTCTGGGGTCTGTAGACCTTGGATGGGGTGACCACGCCTCTGAACTAAATCCGCCCGTCAGCTCCTGCTGGGACAGCTGCAGTCATCAATCAGCCTAGCAAGGAGGTGGGGGCAGGGGTGTGTGTGGAACGCTTGGGGCCAGGGCTGGGGTGCTCAGCTGGTGTCCTCAGGTCAGTACCATGCAAGGTTGGTACAGGCTGCTCCCACCCACCCTTCCTTGTGGAGGATATTAATTAGGGTGGTCGATGTTCAGTTCTCCTACCGGCTTCTGTCTCGTGGCTGCTCCTGAGTGTGCCTTCGGATAGACAAGACCCAGGAACTAATCGACAGATGCTGGAGACCAGGAGGCTCCACAGCTCCGCTCCCTGCCGGCTCCCGGACGGGACTGCAGCCCGGGCGGCTCCCTGGTATTATCCCTTGTTTCTCGGTCACCATAGAGACAGTGAGTCCCACCCCCTAGGCAGTCTCGGCGGGAGAGTGACCAAGGTCATGCTGGCTCCTCCCACTAGACCCCGCCCTGCGTGCTCTTTAGGCACAGGGCCCTTGAAGTCGCGGCGACAACCTTATCCTGCCTCTCCCCTTCAGCCGCGGTCCTCAAGCAGCCAGAGCTGCCCTCTGCAGTCCTGGATGTCCTAAGATAGGAACTTCCATAGCCAATGGGGAAACAGCCCCCCCCCCGCAAGTTCAAGCGGGGTCCCCAACCCTTAAGGGATTTCTGAAAGAGTCAACCTGAGACTGTTTAAGATCTGAATTGAAGAAAAGAACGGGATCCCGCCCCTCATTGACAAGGGTCTACAGCTAGCTCAAAGACCACAGTTACTGTTAAATGTGACATTTGCCAGCTAACTCCCAGGTTCTGAGTGGGGTCCAGATTCTGGAGCATTGGGGGAAGACCGGGACAATCAGTGGATCACACGTGCCTAGCCCCAGAATGCTGGGTACTTTGATGGCGACCACTGTCAGGAAGCAATTCCCGGACCTCGAGAACGGCTGCCTCCTTCCATGCCACCTCTCCTCTCCTTGGTCTCACCGCCTCTGCTCCTGCTGCTGCCTCCTGAGCCTGCTTCCTCTTCAGTCTTCAGCTGCAAATACTACTTAACTAAATAACCTTGCGGGGCGTGGTGGCACACGCCAGCAATCTGGGTATTCAGGACACTGAAGCAGTACGTTCAAAATGCCGAGGCAAGCCTGGGCTACAAAGGAAATAGGAGGAACGGAGGGGAGGGAAGGAGAATAGTAGTGCTGGAACATGAACAAGAGATCCCATGTTTGATCCCCAACATTAAAAACAAAAATCCTTTCCTCGGAGCCTTCCACAACCTTTCCTAACCCACCCCAGGCCAGCTAGTAACAGTCACGGTCTGGCTTCCAGAAGACCCACGGCTCTTTCCATAATGAAAATAAGCACTAAGCCCGCAAAAGCATAAAAAAAAGTTTATTGGAGCATCAGGGCTGGTGGAGCGGATATTGCTGAGTCTTGGGCAAGGGAGGCCGATCCCGCCGGCCTTGAGGCCCCTAAAATGCACTCCGTGCGGCGAAGATGGGGTGTTGCATAGAGTCGGGCCTGCAGTTCCTACACGGCACTAAGGCAGGCCATCTTCGCCGCCGCCAGGTGTCCCGGGCTCGCCGCTGCTCGGGCTCACAAAAACGGCCGGCGAGCGTGCCTGTACTGCCAGCCCCGACTCTCGGCCCCTGGCTCCTGGGGCGCCCAGCGCAGCACTGCCCAGGCGTGTCTGGGCCACTGGAATCTCTTCCATGGACTCGGCTGATGCTGAGTAGTAAGCGCCTGCAGAGCCAGCCGCATGCACCGGACTGGCATTGGTGGAATCCGATGAAGAGCTGGAGTGGCGGCCAGGGGTCCCAGTCTCTGCACAATGAGAGGAATTTTGGTTGAGACAAGGGCTGCAGCCATGGCTTTAAAACTTTTCCCTCCCTCGAACTAACCCAATAGGATCCAAGCAGAGGTGTTTGGTGCTCACCCCGTAACCTGGGCAGCGGGAGCTCCCGGTCCAAGACCCCAGACCTCGGCAATCTATACACACGCCGCTTCCTCTTTTTCTGCAAAGACAGAGGGAATGTGGGCCACTTCCCCAGACCCACTTTGCCAAAAGCAGCAGAGGTACTCATCAGAGTGGAGGCTTCTTTTCCATCTCCCTCTTCTTGGGCGAGGTCCAAACCCAGTCCCTCCTACCTGGGGTTGGATCCGTGGAGGCAGAGCCAGTGTGTCTGAGGAGGAGGAGGGCAGTGGTGGTTCCACTTGGCCTTGGGTGGCAAGAAACTGGGAAGGCCTAAGGTAAAAGCCAGAGAGCAAGCTCTAGATGCTGCCCCCAGAGTGCCTCCCTGCTAGAGATTCCCTTCCTAGCAGGACAGAGAGACACTGACCCATTCAAGATTTTGCTGAGCTAGACCCAGACCCATGTTGTGACCTACCTCCCTTCTCCCACCTCCCATGGGGATAGCCAGGCGGCACTTACTTGGCATTTAATGCTGCTGGCCTGGCCTGGCCAGAGGGCTCTGGACGCACATGGCTGAAGGTCCTCATGTAAAACTCCATCTCCTCGGGAAAGAGGGGGTCAGGAATGCTGAGAGGCTATGTCTGAATCCACAGCCTCTTAAGCCCTGGACACACCTTGTCACTGACCTCTCTAAAAGCTTGGTGGCCTCCTGTTCTAAGGGATCTAGGGCTGTCTTCCTGGTTCTCAGATGTGCTGGGAAAGCCCTTCTGCAGGGCAAGGTTTCAAACACTCATTTCTAGATCTTACCTCACCACAAAGACTCACTTCATCTAGTCAAACTCCAGCTATTCTACTTGAGGAAGGCTGAAGGCCTTTAGGTCCAGTATGCCCAGACTGGGGGAGCATAGCCAAGAGGTTCTTAGGGACAAGACACTCAAGAATGGCCCTCACCTGCTCCCGGGTCCTTCTTAGGGCTGGCTCCGGCCACTGGGTAACTTGTTCAGTGGCCAGGAGACCACAAAGCTCTTCCCAGGCCAGCAGTTTGTGTGCTCCAGGCTGTGAACACTAAGGGGTCATTCTGGCTGCTGGGAAGGAGGATGTGGGTGCAATCCTTGTTGTCTCAATTCCCCAAAGGGAAGGGCACAGGTGAAGAAATAGTACTACAGCCCTGAATCTTGGTCCATACAAAGAGAACTTCATGGCAGTACAAGTAACCTTGAATCAAAGGGCTGGGAGTGACTAGGCCGGCACCAGGGCATGCCAGATGCCTCCGGCTTTGCAGAGACAACTGCAGGTGAAGAAATAAAAGACCGGGAAAAGCTAGCTCAGGAAGGGCGTGGGGCAGAGGGCAAAGGGCGGGGCCAGTGAGCTGGAGGGAGCACCCAGACAGCTGTCGCCTACTAGGCAGTCGTTTCCATGGCGACAGAGGCGTCCTGACTAAGGCAAAGACGACACTGTAACAGAAAGCCGTCTCTAAAACAAGCCTATGTTTTGGGGGCAACGGCTCTAGAGAGGGGCCCCTCCCAAATTCCTGCTGGGTGGGGGTGGGGAGGCTGCCTGCCGGGTCCCTGAGAGTTTTAGGGACTAGCCACCACTGGCTGACTGCACAGCTGCAAAGGCTGAGGCCGCAGATAAGCCCCATGCTCAAACTTTGCCCAGGATGACCCGTTGGGGAGGATATGGGGATACCTGCCCACACAGAGCACACAGGGGTCAGAAGCTAGTCCCAGGTACTAGAGCCTTAAGGTCATTTTCCTCACACCTTTTTCCTCCTTTAGTAGGAACTAACACCCCACAGCACCCAGCGGAGGGGGACAAAGGCTGCTTTGGATCCCCTAGTCTCCAGGATAGGCTAGAAGTCAGGCCCCAAGCAGCTAAAAGAAAGTCTGTGACTATCACCAGGAGGAGCCCACTCAGACTTCCCTCCTCTCCTCAGAACGGATCCTCAGGTTCCTTCCTCAGAAACCTCCAAACATTTACACATTCCTGAACAGTACTTTGGAACCTCTCAGCTACAGTGTTCTCTCTTCTGTAAAAGGGAACAAGCACCTGGCTCCTACGGAGTAGGTTTGCCCTCAAGTTAGCTGTAGACAAACAGAATTGGATTAAACGTCTTTGCTGTTGCCACAACTGGGTCCAAAAGGTACAGGCTCTGGAGTCTGGGCACCCCAGAGCAAGTCTTGCCCACTTACTCTACTGATACTCTAGGATGGCTGCCACTGTCTGCACAGTTCAGAGCCCAGCGCCAGGGCAGGTAGGTGATAGATAGTGTGATGGGGTTCTCTACCAGTTGCCAGCACTCCTCAGCCTGGCCCACAGGCAGGGATCAAGCCCTGGAGATGAGAAAAGGAGAGGCAGGGTCCTTTTCCAACCCGCCCACCAGCCTGTGTTTGTATCCAGTTGCCATGAGGATTTGGGATCCAGGGCTCAGCCTTCCCAGCAAAGCCTGCCTGGGCCCCCTGCCTTTACAGTCCCTAGGGGCTTTGAGGACTGGACCACCTCCATCCCCAGCTGCTGACCTCAGGAAGCCAGGGGGCGTGGGAATGGAGATAGGCTGGTCAGCAGCTGGGCTGGCCAGGCCAGGCCAGAGCCTAGATTGCAGGGTTCCTGCTTTGTTCTCGGTGTGTGGAGACCTTAACTCTTCCCAGACCAGGCTTCTGTTTAACCTTTCTGGACTTTCATGTGCCCATCTCTAACACAGACTGTTAACAGTTGCCCCTGTTCTAAAACTAAAATAAGATAGATCTAAGAAGTCAAGATTATAGATGAAGGGAACTGATGATTACAGCCTAACTGCCAGTTAACAACCGGTGCTCGGCTTCCTCTACCACATGCTGGTGCCTGGACAGGAAGGTACATGGGCCTGCAGAAACACAGGGCTCCTTTGGGCTATGGTAGTGTCCATGGGCCCAGCACAGGCTGGGTCCTGCTTCCCCAGGGCCCACTCGACCTGCTGTTCTAGGCTTTCTTTCCTTACATGGTCTCCTCAATGGCTCTTGCTGCACAGCCCACTCCCCACCACACACACACACACACACACACACACACACACACACACACACACACACTCAGTCCAGGCCTCTGGACCACCTCTATACCTGTATGGGCCGCATCTTTCGGGGGCATGACTCAAGCTCCTTGTGGGTCTCCTTTGCTTCCTGAGCTGGGCGGTGCTGTACGATGTACTCATAGGTGGTAAGCTTGTGCCACACTGGTGGGTGTGGGAAGAGAGGAGTCAGTAGTGGACAAGTGACCCTGGAACTCAGGAGGGAGGGCCGCCAGCACTAGGTTCAAATCCCTATCCACAAATATACTAAGCAGTGGAGCAAAACCAGGCCTACCACAAAGAACCAACACTGGTAAGGTTCATGACTTCAAGGCTCTACAGCCCCAAAAGGCACCTCCCTGCAGTCAAGACTCTATCCCCTTCAATGCAAGCTTGGAGGAGGCACTTACTTAAATAAATGTGGAAGCAGAGCAGGTGGCCAAGCAGGGCTGTAGAAAGCAGGCCTAGAAGGATGAGTAGGGCAGCCAGGGCCAGGATGGCAGGAGCCTGGGTCTCCACAGGGGCAGCAGGCAAGAACACAAACCACACATCTGTGTGATTCTTCAAGACTGCAAGGCATAGGCAGTCTGTGCTTAGCCAGGGGTCGGTCGGGGTGCATTGATTAAAAGATGTCTGTGTCAAGAACCCACACCGACCTTCAAAGTGTTGGTTGGTACGAAGCTGCATGGGGTTGACAAAGAACTCCACGAAGACATATGTGGCCACCAGCACCAGGAGCAGAACACCCAATAAAGCAGATGCCACACTGTGTAGAAAGAGCCTGGCCCAGCCATGGGCACTGGTCAGCACTCAGGAGCTCCAGCCTGGTAAGGGCCAGAAGCCCAGAAGCCAGGCTCCTGACCTCAAAGCCCCAACTACTCAGAAGTCAAACGTCACAGAGCCTGAAGACAGGCAACCAGTTATCAGGCTCCCCATCTTTGTCTGGACCAATAGGATGGAAGACTCCAAACCCATCCTCATCCAACCCAAATATCACCTTCCCAGCATGCGCACATCCCTACCCACAACTGTGCACTGCGTTACCAGCAGTCTTCAACAGAACCCAGACTCAGATGACTCTCACCGATAGTTCCTCTCGCCCACGCAGTTGTTGAGCCATTTGCAATGATGGTCGAAGCCGCACACGCACTTGTTACAGGCGCTGCAGTGTTTGGATCGCGCACTCCTGCGGAGGGTTAGGGAAGGCACCTCGCCGTCGGCCAGCCCATCCCACCTTGGCAGGTGTAGCGACCTGAGTCAGGCCTGGTTCCTAATTACCCACAAGCACCTCCGCCCCTCCGGGGTCACTGCAGTGAGGAGCACACGCGCCCTCTGGCGGAAACACAGGGTGGGACCCGTGGAGAAGGTTCTGAGAAGCAGACAGTACAGGGAAGGGGGTGCTTTGTGGGGTCCTACTCTTAATCTACACACCTACGTAAAGTTCGCATGAGAAGGAAAAAGAGGCGTTCTTTCCAAGCGAGGACCTCTGTGCCAGACCACACACAAGATGCAGGTGTGGGACCTGAGGCAGAATGCATAGCTGCCCAACTGGTGCCTTAATTGCACTTCTAACAGCTCCATTTTGGGGTCACTTTCCTTGCCATCCTACGGGAATTTTTCTGGCACTCTTCCAGAAGGCCTGTGTGGGCTAACTGTAAAGGAGCCAAAAGGAGAGGTGTTCACTGTCAACTAGGGGCATTAAGGAAGCTCATGGGCAAGGGACACGTGAGAGAAGGCCACATTAGGCTACAAGTGGGGTCTCCCCCGGAGGCATCACGGAAGACCCAAATGAGTATGGGAGAGGAGCACATGATCTCCCTCCATTACTCATGGAAATCAACTGCCAGAGCCACTCAGAACATGTGCTAGCTGCTGCTTAGGGAATGACCACAGGCCTCTGGTTCCTGTAGACAGACCCTTCCCACAGGCTACTGTAGGCCTCCAGATTCCAAGTGTGGAGCCACACTCTATCAGTCAACCCATGCCTGAGTCTGGAGATTTCGAAGCTCCAGTAATGTAGGGAAGAGTCCTAGAGAGGTACTGTGATGTGCCAAAGGAGGAGAATGGGTGTTCCACATTGTCTACTCTCCTCAAGAGCAGTAGGACATGAAGCAAGCCACTTGGCCTCTCTGGCCTCAGACCCCTCATGGGTAACTGAGTAAAGGTGCCGGGGGTGGGGGTTAGGGGGGTGGGAGGGTTACACAGCTAATGTGGCCTTGACTCTGCTGCTCAGTATCTTAGTGACTTCAGGACACCTCCCAGCTTTCTGAGCAGTAGGTCCTGGCTCTTTTGTTAAAGAACACAGTACTTAGCACAGAACATATAAGCCTTAACTCCCCTCTTGCCCCTATCTGGGTGCTTTTAAGAGACAAATATGTCACTGGTAGAGTTAGTCATTTAGAAATGATTGTGGTGCTGCCAAAGGCCTCCTGGTTTTACTCTAGGAAATGCTATTCCCCATCCTTTTTTCTAATCACTCGCAGGTCACTCTGCCAAGACTTTTTGTTGTGTTTGTTTGTTTGAATCTATGACTTACTATGTAGTCCTGGCTACTCTCAAGCTCACTGAAATCCTCCTGCCTCAGCCTCCCAATTGCTGGGATTACAGGTATGCACCACCATGCCCAGCTCTACTAAGACTCTTTTTGTTTTGTTTTTGAGATAGGGTCTCACTGTGTAGCCCTGACTGTCCTGGAACTCACTATGTAGAACAGGCTGGCCTGAACTTACAGAGATCTGCCTGCCTCTTGCCTTCTAAGTGCTGGGATTAAAAGTGTGCGCCATCATACCCACCCTCCACCACAACTCTTAACTATGGAAAGAACAAGTGTTCCGAGGCATAACCGTGAAGCCTAGCATGACCCTATTTACCCCGAATGTAACTGGTGATCCTCCAGGCACACGCATGGCCCACATTCACTCACACTCATGCACTCACACATCCACGTCGCACAGGTTGCAGTGCAGGTCTTCAATGACATGTGCATGCTGGCTGCGGTTGAAGATAGGCAGGGGCCCAGAATAGCTCTTGTCCCGCACATTGGCATCTGCTGGATCGATGGAGACAGCAGTCAGGTGCACCACAAGGTGGCCAGCAAAGATGGCACCCATGCACTAGCCCAGCAGGTTAAAGACTCAGTCCGTACTCTGCAAACCAAGAGCCCCACCCACTTTCTTGGACAGAGGACTCACCCTGTCCATGCAGGTTTCCTTTATACAGAGACTCTGCCTGTACTATGTTCTCCTGCCCCTTACCAAATTTCTTCATCAGACCCCTAAACCCTCAACCTAATAGGGTCATATGACAATGGAGCCCAAGGCCAGTACTACTTGCTACTGCCTCCAAGGGGTCTAGCCACAGGGCCTAGGCTTACCATTTCAGGCCTGGTACAAGCCAGTTTCAGAGGGTGAAAGAGACATCATCCCTTAAGGTCAGAGACCTAAGCTGAAATTCTGAGCTTGTTTTCCTTGCTTTTACAGGAAGCAACTTCCGAGATGGAAGCAGCTACTCCCTTTCAATAGCTAGGGCCAGATGGAGAACCACTCTCAGACAGGACTAATCTAATTGCTGCCTCCCCCACCTCAAGTCCTGGTACTTGGCACCCTAAGCTGAGTGTCTGGGATAGCTTCACATGTTCAGTGCCAACCAGGGCAATGCAGCTAACTCCTGGAACTAAAATGAGGCTTTCCCATCACTTTGCTGAGCCAAATACAGGAAATGAGTATGCTGCCGACTGGCTGCGACATCTACACACAAGCTCCCAATAGGTTCCGCCCAGGCAGATGGTTCTTTTCTTTCCTCTACCTACTCATCCATGAGCATTCTTTGTCCTCCCACTAACCAGGCAGGTACCACCCCTCCATCACTCAGGACCTAACCATTATTCATCCTTTATGCAGCTGTCCAACAGTCCTCTTACTCTCACTCAGGAGCCAAATTCCTCTGTCTGTATGAGCTGGGCTCTTCCAGAATGTGCTATACCACAGCTGAAAGAGCCAAATCTGTGCTTAACACTGAGCTCTCTATCCTTATGGTCTGCTATGAGTTAACTCTTCACCTCTTACCTGAGTTACTGGAGAACCTCACACTCTTCTCCAGAACCTACCTACCCTTCCTGTGTTCCAGGAGTGAGCTTTCAAAAGCCTACACCTAAGCTCTTCTTCCCTGCATCAAGGCCTACAGTGGCTCTAAATGGCTCTCTAGTTGAAGTTCATGCCTTAGCCCAGGGCCAAAGCTCGCCTTGATCTGGCTCCTCCCAACTCTAGAGGCTCACTGTGGGCAAACATTTAGCTTCCTGCCTTCTTCGAGCTTTCTCTACCATTTCATTCACTCAACTGTTTACACAGTTCTTCCCTTGGCCCCAGACACGAAGGAATATGGGAAGAGTTGGTCCTGAGCCCGAAGAAGCCTGCTTCATGATGGAAAGTACAGATACTGATCAAATAACAGGTCAGTTCCATCAGTTTATAACTGACGGCTTTATCTAGTCGGACAGACAGGGAGACTTCTCAGAAGAAGTATCCTCATAGCTGAGATGTGGAAAAGAATGTGTAACAGGGCCTTGGAAGGCAAGACAGAGGGGAAAAAAAGGGCTAGGCTGAGACCCGAACCTTGCACGAGTGTCAACCATACAAGGGTGGCTGAAGTATTGTCCCAGCTCATGACTGCCATATAAGAATGGGGTTTAAATTCCTCCATGCTGCCAAATTCTGAGCTTTCAAAGGAATAAAAAAAAAAAAAATAGGCTTGCCAGACGGTGGTGCATGCCTTTGATCCCAGCACTCAGGAGGCAGAGGCAGACGGATCTCTGTGAGTTCAAGGCCAGCCTGGGCTACAGAGCTAGTTCCAAGACAGCCAGTGCTACACAGAGAAATCTGTCTCGGGGGAAAAAAAACAAAAACAAAAACAAAACTAATAATAATCTAGGCTTCCTGTGTTCCAGGGTGAGATCTCTCAGTGTTTAAACGTTAAAAGAAATAAATAATTTCCAAAACATGTAGAAGACCTGTGCATTTTTGATATTCATCATCCTACAATTTTACACAGTTTGCCAACCAGACTTGCTCATTGGGCTGCCAGCTCTTGACCTCTGACTCAGTTGGTGAGTCAAGGGCTTCTAGGAAGAGATTACTGTTGTCAAAATAGGGAAAATAAAAGGAAGCTGAACAGGCAGACCTCACATTCAGAAAGCCATAGAAGACTAATGAGAATCTTGAGCCTCGGTTTTTTTGGGTTTTGTTTTCAAGATTTATTTATTATGTATACAGTGTCCTGCCTGCATGTATCCCTGCAGGCCAGAAGAGGGCACCAGATCTCATTACAGATGGTTGTGAGCCACCATGTGATTGCTGAGAATTGAACCCAGGACCTCTGGAAGAGGTCTGTGCTCTTAACCTCTGAGCCATCTCTCCAGCCCCCAAGCCTCATTTCTTAAAGGAGGAAGAAGCTGCTAGATTTTGAGCTGGTGAAACATTATCAGATAGTGTGTGTGTGTGTGTGTGTGTGTGTGTGTGTGTGTGTGTGTGTGTGACATTATCAGATAGTGAGTGTGTGAGAGAGAGAGTGTGTGTGTGTGTGTGTGTGTGTGTGTGTGTGTAAGAGTACCCTGGCTGCAGGATAAAGATGGCCAGGTAAAAGGGAGGGAGGGAGGGAGGGAGGGAGGGAGGGAGGGAGGGAGGGAGGGAGGGAGGGAGGGAGGGAGAAGCAGAGGCAGTGGATGTATGTGTGAGAGAGTTCAGAGCGCTCTGGCTGCAGCTGCAGGTAGCCAGGAGTAGGAATGCACAGGGAGACTGACTTGAACTTAAACAGCCATCTAGGTTAGAGAGGCAGGGAGCAGTGGGAAGGAACGGTGGGAAAGAGGAAAGAGGTAAACTCCCCAGTCCTGATGACTAACTGCCTATCAGCAGTGGAGGAAAGGGGAGCCAGCTGAGCGAGCGAGCGTGTGAATGAGGCGGGGAGGAGCGGCTGAGCAGCAAATGTGCTGCTAGGTGTGGCCAGGCTGCTCTAGATGACGGCTGCGGCCGCATTTTCTGCTCCCAGTCTGCCGTCCGAGCCCCTTCCCAACATTTACCTGGAGTGTGACCACTGTGTCCAACCTACCAATCTCCCCTCCCCCTGGCCCCGAAGCACCCAAAGCTCACCTCTGTATCCCGGGAGCTCAGGCCCATCGTGGGCCCACAGTGGGAACCTGGTACCCACTTCATTCCTCTGAGGCCCTGAGAGCTTGCGTTAATGGAAGCAGATTTTGATGGAACCATGTAGCTTTGGTCAGGCTGCCAGACTAGGTGGCTCTGGGAGCTTCCATGTGGCTCAAAGAACATAGAATATGAAGTAATTCAAAGCCTCAAATCATTCCAGTTGCTGAGTCTGAGTAGCCTCACTGGGTACTAGCTGTGTGATCTGAAAAAGTCACTATCCTGTCTGAGCCTCTTCCTTAATATAATGGTCTTGAATGAGACATGTCCCCCAAACGTTCATGTATTTAAACACTTGGTCACCAACTAGTGGCACTGTTGCAGAGGTTATAGAACCTTTATGAGGTGCAGCCTTGCTGGAGAAGCACAACATTGGGGGGCAGGGTTTGAGAGTTCACAGCCTGGACCTGCTTCCTGCTCACTCCCTCTTCCTGTGTGCACTTGAGATGGGCTCAGCTAACTTCCTGCCTCCTGCCACGCCTTTCCCACATTATGAACATGGTCAACCCTCTGGAACCGTAAGCTAGAACAGACTCTTTCTTCTATCACTTGCTTTTGGTCATAGTATTTCATCGCAGCAACAGAAACATAAGCAACACACCTCATTAGTGGGGAAATACCTTCCTTATAGGATCGTCCTAAGGACCAGAGAAGAACATCCCTGCCAAGTGTGCAGCACATCTAAGTGCTCAATAAACGCCACTTTTGTCTACTGTTACTTGCTCTGATCCTCCTCACTCCAAGCCAGGTGCCTGTAGGGTGCCTGGGTAACCCCGAGTCAGGGATGGAGCTATTTCAGACCGCAGGAGAATGTCCCATGAAGTACTCCACCTAACCACACCAAGGCCCATGGTCATCTTAAGAACGTCATTTCCTATTCACTCACCCAGCTGTTGATCTGGCCTTGGGCTCCTGTGAACCAGGAAGCCCCAGTGACACTGAGGATGACAATCTTCTCCAGACGCCCTCTACTCCACTGCCTTTGGCACTCAGCAGCCCAGGACTCCAGGGTCCCCCAGGAAAGCACACTTCCATTAATAGCCAATGCCTTTATGTTCACACACTTCCTAATAAGCCCTCACTCTCAAGCTAGCCCTCAGAAGCACACAGAACCCCTCCTGTGGACCAGAGAGCTGGAGGAGCTTCTCTGATGAGCACAGCCCAAGGGGGCTGAGCTGAGACCAAGCCCTGCTGGCATGTGCGCTCCAGCTTATCCCTAACCCCCTGTCTCAGAAATCCTCTTCAGGAGGCTGGTGCCAGCAGACAGGAAGAGGAACTCTCTGAAGAGGGGCACACAGAGGCCTATGCACCCTACACCCAGCCCTGAAGCCATGTCTGCTGTCCTTGGGGGCTGTGACCAGGGCTAGGACAGCCAGACCATAAGGCTCAACCAAGTTAGTGTTTGTCACTGTTCCCAGGAGTTTGCAGGGCATTTCTATGTCACCTTTTGGCATAAACATCATCCCAATATCAATAAGTGTACAAATATTCCTAGGCATAGCAAAATAATGTCTATAAATAAAACCACATTTTAAATGTACCAAGAAACTTACTATGTGGGAAAACTATACCGTGACAAATTCCTTCACAAGTGAAATAATTGCTCCCTAACTTGCTGTTCCAAATGAGGATCAAACCCAGGACTTTGCACATGCCGGGCAAGTACCCTACCTACCGAGCTATATCCCCATCCCCTGATTTGCCCTTTCTTTAGCTCAGGCATAATCAGTCTGAAGATGCTTTAGGAATCTTTGTCAGATCTTCTCTGACATTTATGGGTTCTGAAGAATTTTAGGGCTGTCCACTCACTTTTATCAGAGGAAGGGTCAAGCCTGGCAGAAAATCAACCAAGTCAAC